GAAGGCTGTGGCTTGTGCAAGCCACAAAACCCTTATCGCTGTAGCAAAAAGGTGACAAAAATATGGAAGAGACGTTGAGACTAAAACCTGAAGGTGATTCGTTTATATTTAGGTGTGACCAAGTTAGTTCGGACAAGAGAGACTCCGGGTTTCTTCGTAAGTAATTTAACGACGCTTCGTCAACTGCAGAGATCATGTCACATCTACAAAATTAGAGGATTGTTATGTAAAGTAAAGCTATCCCTATAACCGGCCGTGAAGACCCAAAGGGTTGTCAGACGTTGATGGTCCCACACTCTCTAGACAGTCGGCTCAGAGATGGCGGTAAGGTTGTCAGCCTTACGCGCCGGCCGCTCTTTACTCCCAGGAAAATTATTTTTAATTAATTCCTGGTACTCATTTATGTTAGATATGATTACATACGTGCAAAATAAAGTGTAAACAGAAAGAAATTTGAAAAGGCCTCTAAACAAATGGACAGCTTTATTAAGTTACGAAGTTTTCTGGCAGCGACAAATCAAGGAATTAAATCTACGGCCCTGAGGATGAATTAATAATGACCGTATCTAAACCCATTTCCATACTCTCAGAATCTACAACACTCGCTTCGGTGCTGACACCATCACAGTAATATGCGGAGTACTGGCATGATAACAATAAGCAGTTTGGTACTGACACCATCACAGTAATATGTGGAGTACTGGCATGATAACACTAAGCAGTTTGGTACTGACACCATCACAGTAATATGCGGAGTACTGGCATGATAACAATAAGCAGTTTGGTACTGACACCATCACAGTAATATGTGGAGTACTGGCATGATAACACTAAGCAGTTTGGTACTGACACCATCACAGTAATATGTGGAGTACTGGCATGATAACACTAAGCAGTTTGGTACTGACACAATAGCAGTAATAACTGGAGTGCGGACACTATAGCAGACATCGTTGGAGTGCTGACAACATCGCTTCAGTCGTCTCAATAATGACGCCGTAGAAATGACCACAGTCACTCACTAACTATAATTCTACTGTAAGGGCACTAATGCAGATCACGTAGCAAAGTTTTCTGCCCGATTTCATCATTTAATTTCAAAACCGTGATGCGCCAATTTTTCAGTCTGTCCGGTACTCGGACTGCCCTCGACGGCGCTCGTAACGTCAATATATATTTATATTCCAATTACAGATAAATATTAACCTTCTCCTTGCTGCTTTTTAATTAAGTTACCTTCGTTTCTAGTACAGTTGTTGAAATGCCACGAATGACATATTTATAGCGTTGGAGGATTTGTATTGTGTTAACAGAAAACGTATTTTTAAGAAAGATATATTGGGTATATCATGCGAGTTGAAAATTATCTATCTAATCTATGACTCTATTGTCCTCTGTTGGACCTTGGCCAGTTTTTCAGTTTCTTGATAATGTGACGCGTTACCTCACGCCCATCACCGCGACAACCGCTACAATCGGAACGGACACTTCCACGACAACGAATACGTGGTAATTGTGGAGTTCCCGCAGCGACAAATCGTAGCAACGAGTTGTCGTTGAGTAACAACGGATGAGACGAGACACGTTACCAGTGTGATCTATAAGGAACTTTCCCGAAGCAATGGATTGCCGAACACGTGAGGTCGAAACTTGGCGAGGGGTGTCCTCTACTGAGTCCGCGTGCGCCTTATATAAAGGGCCTGGCCTCGAGCGGAAATTGAATATAGAATATTAGAGAATTAGAATATTGAAGACTGGAGTATTGAGAGGAAGACAATCTTGGGATAGCCGCCTCCAGAGACAGTTGAAATCCAACCATGGCCAAGGATAGTTGAGACGTCACATTGGAGTACTGGGCCAGAAGTTAAGTGACACTACAAATGATAACAATTGTATGGTGTGTAAGTGTGAGTGTCCAATAAAGAGTCGCTAAATCCGAGACCCACGAGAAGTTATTTGTCGTGTGACATACCCAACACGTGACAATACTAAGTCAGTAGGACTCCCTGGACGGGGAATCAGCCAGTCGGAAGCCCGCTACTTACACACAGAACAACACAAACACAGAATAAACGCATACAGACATCCATGCCTGGAGTGGGATTCGAACCCACGACCCCACCGTCCAAGGGAGCGAAGACAGTTCATGCCTTAGATTGCGCGGCCACTGTGATCGGCTAAAAATATTCACTATGAGAAAATTAATTTCATTACAAGACGACGTCTATCACCTGCATATAGGTAAAGTTGTTCCAGTGATTAACTAATTAGGCACTGCGCAACGAAGGGATATGGGGGAGCAGATGTATAGATCCACGTATTTGTGTCCTCGGCACTAGATGGAAGTGAGGGGCCACATTCAGGCTGCGGCCACTTTACACCCGGTACCCATTGGATAGGAGGCTGGGTGGGCCCCAGAATCGATCTGGACGGCGTGAAGAAGAGAAAATTCTTGACCCTACCGGGACTCGAACTCCGACCGCTTGGCCGTCCAGCCCGTAGCCAGTCACTATACCAACTGAGCTATCCCGACTCCTCATCCACATATGACACACGTTTCTTATGCTTCCTGGACACACAATACACCAACAATCGAAACTGACATGACACCTGCAGCAAAATACAAATTGAAGTGACCCCGTGTGGAGGCGGGTTCGAATACCTCCACCGTGACCCTGAGAATCGTAGAAGGCGACGAAAATGGAAGTCTCAAATTTGAGACAGTAAAATATTGTCGCCGAGTCCTAAGGGACTCGAACCCAAAAAATAGTGCACTGGCAAGGACCAGCAGCATATAGAAAAGACAGACACGTCCTCTCGTCAGAGAGTGCGCCCACATAAAACAAGACCGTAACTGTCAAGCAGTAATAAAGATCTGGCAGCAAATCCCAAATGGGCGCTTTTTGTCAGGACAGACTGGCCGACTGACCGTCGGTCGTAAAATGAGACTCAGACTCAGACAAATTGACGTGACTTGCCGCATAACACAAATGTAAGAAAATCCAGGACTCCGAGAAGCAGAAAGCAGCTAATCATATCAGCAAACGGCTGACATTTACCTGCGAAGATGAGCAGAAACAGATGAGCGGTAAAGGCAGTGGATCCGTAGCGACGCTGCGGCGTGGGTGACATGATGCCTCGTTCTGAACCTGCGATTAGCTGCCACTGCGAGATGTGCTCCCTCTGGTACACACACCGATTCATCTAACCTGTAGCTAGCTCGATTAGTGCAGACCAACATCTGCGCACCGTCATAATATCTGTATATTGTCGCGGATTCGTAATACACGAGCGACAAATATTTGTATTTGTGCTGTATTTCAATATCCCTCAGACAACAATAGGTTCATTTTTGCATCACGACGCTGTGTTGACCAGTCGCGTATTCGACTTAGTTTGTGTGCGCCCATCAGATGGCTGCACAACTCACGATGTACCATTACAAGAACAAATTAATATACAAAGGATTCGTATTATGCCTAGTGGAGTTATAATTCAGTTTACTGAAGTTAGGTTCGTAGGAAAATTATGTATCGCTCATTTCTATACACTATACGTATCACACTATGTTTAGAAAATAGCAGAATATGCTTACTTTTTCCTGGTTTATTAATCGATGCTTCCAACATTTCAGATTATATTCCATCGAACGATATGATGATTAGCGTGAAAAGAAGCGGTCATGGCTTCATTTAAGGCACTTTCCTCGAATTTGTCCGAACAAATTGAATAAACTTACAAAAACTTACAGGTCAATCATGATAACCGGTATTCCTGGCAATGATTTGGAGTCGGAAACATAATAATTGGCAGTTCTGACCGCTGGCCACGACGTTGTACAGTTGTATATGATTTTACTTATGACTGGCGACAGCTGTCACATCAGAGGCTCAGTAACGCTCAGTGACAGTGTGCACAGGTCTGTGTACTGTAGAGAGCGTGTTCCAGAGGGCGCAGCCGTGAAGTAAATTTATGGTTCTAGTCACTTCTTTGGTGCTTGAAATTGTCTAATGAAAGGGGCCGCAGCGCCAGGGCAGTAGTTACTAAAAGGTCATCTACAGCAACACGATTTTAGTAGCAGGGTGTTTCAGCGACTTATCTTTTTTCACCTCTTGGTGATTACTGCGTGACTCCTAATTATCAGTAATATGGGAATGCAATATCGTAAATAAAATTGCTGTCAGAGTTGCGACATGAACAGCAGTTTTCGTCACAGCGTCTGGTAAATTCGTGTAGTTGTTGTAACGAAGTTTTGAGAAAATTGAGCTGGGTTAATTCATACAAGCTGGCCGAATTTTCGTTGCCTGAGGTAGCATTCAGTTTTTGGGGCTCCTGACTTGAGAGAACATGTTCCATACCAGTTACAGATTGCTGACAAAAAAAAATACCTCCATAGCCTGTAGTCCGCAAGTGAACTATACCGACCGAGCGACCGCCGCTTGTCTGCGAAGGTAGCGCCAACTTTTGCATATAGATGGTGTCACGTGATCAGCGCAACAGTTACCCAAGGCCGTTAATAGATGAGTTCTGCACTCTAGGAATTGTATTTCAAGCAGGAGGCCACAGCCTAGGATTAGGGAGTCAAATTCTGGTACCTCAAAGTGTAAAGTGTAAGAGACTTAATAAAGTAGTACTTCATTCATTACTTCATGACCCTAAATTAAGTCACTTTAATGTCTCACCCTCTTCACATGCCCTTGGGTCTGACATATTATTAAGCGCACGAGATTAGAAGAATGAAACTGAGAGATCATGAGTGAAACAATATTCATACCAGATTCATGAAAATCAGTCAACTGATGTTAAAAGGTGATATACATACACTGCTTGATGATCCCATATGCCTACATTTTTTACTTAATTAAGGAAAGTAGGCACAAAATTGATGCACTGTGGTTCTCACAGCCACCTTTCCCATTCTATAACATGCAGGAAGATGAGTAATGAATGGTCACTATGTTTGCTTGCACACAATTACATCTGTACAAACATCAGTAATGTGTGTGTAAATTTACCCAATATTTTAATAGCACAATAAATATTACATTATAATCCATGAATGTGTGCTGAGTATTACTTCATATCATCACATTAGAATTAACAAGAATGGGTAAAACAATTCACATCTAAGCACAAGTACTGATTTGAAGAATTACTTGGTCATCACTCTGAGTGAGCCTCTCAGCCAACCAGTATACACACTTCAGTTCTGTGGTGTGACTGATGACACAGGCTCAACATCAGAGCAATAACCTCAACAGACCATAAGCTGTAATGTCACTAACTTAATACAATGAAGTTTCAGTGAACAGTTTGGCCTGTAACTCATTCCACTCCAAGCCCAACTACAGGGTTCCTGCCCCTGGTTGTCTTTTCTTCACGACAGCAACACGGCTGCAGTGGCTTGACACAAGTCTTAATTGGAGCCGTCGTCATCTGAATGTCACAGCAGCCTGATGGTGCCTTCGTCCGTGCCTGTTGCGATGGCTGCTACTGCTGCCTCTACCCCTGAAGCCTCCACGCCCTCCTCTTCTCCAGTCTCCTCTATTGGGTACTGAACTCCCCATACTTACAGTCATACTATTATGATGAAAAGCTTGTTGAGGTGGTAGCAACAGACTAGGCCCTGGGGGCTCATCATCCCCTTCTTGCTCCTGTAAAAGACATTCAATTCTTCTCTTTCAAATGCTACACAGAGACACGTATAGACACCTTCTAAAAAACTATTTCTTCTGGAAACACGTCCATGAAAAGCATGCCTGGTTCACAAATTCAAGACTTGGAACTGGCAACCCAGACTTCCTCACAATGCAATACAAAGACAAATGAACTCCTAGAACTGTCACTTACTGTAGTATCTGTCACTAAGAGTAACTTTGAGTCCTCTGCTTCAGGGTCAATGATACCACCTCGACGCTTCTGGTGGCTGAACAGGGCTGCCATTTGCCTTTGCAGACTACGAAGTTCATCACTTAATTCAAACTGTCGAGCATTCTCTACTTCAAGGGGAGGAGCTGCACTTGATAATAAATTCATATCACACTGTATTGGCTCACGGCACACAGGACACAGCACCTGGACAAACAATCTGCAGTTAGCACCAGGCAACAATTCAAAGCAGGCCATTTCAAGTACATATGGTGTAATTTACGAAACGAAACTTTCACTTTTTCCTTCGAATTATAAGCACTGTAGAAAAGCATACAGATTCAAATCCCAGACTGTTTGAAATGTTTATCTCTAAGCCTTTGCATGTACTGATTAGACTGACTCATGGTACTTGCCTTATAAGAGCAACAGCAGAAAGATCAGCTGGCTTTTAATCAATTACTGCAGCATTTCTGTTACCAGACAGAGTAGAGTCTTTCAAAAGCTGTATACCTGCTGTTGTTTCAAGGTCGCTTCAAGAAAACACAATTGCACTGGCGACAAAGTCAGACAATTAGCTCCTTGTGACAGTCCCTGGAAGGAGCAGGCTGCCTGGTTGACTAAGGGCAGCCGTGCTCCAAGGAAAGGTGTGAGCCACTGTGTCAAGGCCTGCAAGGTACTTTGGGACCAGTGTCAAAAATGGTGCCCGTGGGATACACTATCTAGCCTCTGCCCACAAAATGTGCTCTGTGGGAGGTGGCATTAGAACTCCTTAGCAACAGCTGTCGGAAGAGGCTACTGCAGTGGTCCCTGAAGATCTGGGTCTACTAGAGACCTAATGAGATATATCAAGGGACCGACTGAAAGAGATTCTTTGATCTTCTGGCTCTGCATTGGAGGGCTCAGCTGCTGGATCCTCTGCTGCTACAAGGGCCTTTGTATACACAGCCTAGAGACCTAATGGCCTTGGTCACAAAATCCTGTAGGGTGGTAACAGGGCCACTGACTGCCCACTGTGCCCTGAGATGGCACCTACATGTTACGAGCCTCTTGACAAGTTTCATATGCAGGAAGTGTGGACAGGAGGAATCCTCCTCCCACACACCTTTACACTGCCCAGCGTTGACTACATGTGGAATAAAGCTCTTTGGTTCCTCATTATAACAGACAACACAGAACAGCAGCACAACAATCAGGATAATTTTGGCTGCAACATTACAATCAAGGCTCTTTGAAGGGCCTTTGCAAGAAAGGGGGCATATAATGGACTCAGCAGTGGTCTTAGTGCTTGGGAAGACTCCCCAAGATAATTCCACACAATTCAAAACAACAATTCAACTGCCTTTACCACTAGGCAGCCTTCACATTTCTAACAGTTAGCTTTATGGCCGGGTCTGGCAGTCAAAGGGTTAACCTTTTTCACATAATTCTACTTGAAGAACTTATTAATAATAACTAGGAGTAGGTCACCTCCACAGTACTCTGCAACAGGGGATTTCATGAACAAACTTCTGCAATCTGCTACTACATAATGACTCAGAATGGTGACCATATGGAAAAATAATGCAAGTATTTCCACTGTACTGTCATGTGATTCTGAAATATATTTACTTCAGAAATACAGACTTCATTATGCCACTTTCTGATCACCCAACGTAAAACGATTTTTCCTTAATTTTAAATGTGCACATTTAACAGTTAGTACAGAGTGACTCAAAAGTCATGCAACCCACATTTCATTGTTACTTTCTAAATGTAACATAGGTTAGAAAAAAGCTGTAGTCTTATATGGGACGGGATAACTGAGACATACCTCCTAAAGGCATCCTTGAAGACTGTAAACGAAGTAATGTTTAATATATGAACACACATTGTGACTGGCAAAATGACATTCTGTGCTCACTGTGAACAAGGCAAGACTGGCATCATGCTGACAAAAAATACTGTCAGAAACTGCACACAATCAGGAGATGATCAGTGGTGCCAACTGCTACACACACAATCACATTCACTCATCTTGTTGCAGACTGTGACTTTTGAATCGCTCTGAAGAACTTCAGTCCCAATAGCTAAATTTCCTATTTACATTCTAGCAAAGCCAATAAATACAATTCAGCCATCATGTAGTAACTAAAATACACACCTGGCAAGGAGACAGTGTGTGTTGGCTGCGCTGCCAAGCTGGTAATTTGTCTAGCTCTTCTTGGTAACTCTTTTCACTGCTCGTTACATGACAAGCAAGACAGTGTGAATGGAAGTAGTGATAGCATTGTGTCTTGGTAAAATGGTCACCTTCTCGAAATCCATACAGACAGATTGCACACTGACAAGATGGCAGGTTACTGGATGTCAAGTGCTCCTTAACTAGCTGTCAAATATGTAGAATGGGCAACATTACAACATTACCATTAGACAGTCTAGTGCAGTGTATTCAGACAAAATGTGTTTAAGTACACGTGACTAGCAAAAGTAATAAAGTAGTGTCACAAAATTAAGATATTTGTGTCCTGCTACGGCTGCAAAGAATATTTTACTGACTGCTGCACTGTGTGCCACATATTTGTCTGCTTACTTGTACTTTGGTTCATTTCACTACTCCTTCGCCCCATTATAAAATGTTAAATTGGAGTGATTTTGAACAATGTATTGGGAATGAAGTGTTTATGGCTTGTAGTTACTATAGGATTCTGACGATGGTGTATAACACACTGATATATTGGGTTTTTGGACTTTATCCATCGTCCTGGTTTTTAAGATAACTAATAAAAACACGACATTTCGGATACTGGATCTGTTTCCGTCCTCAGGTGAAGAAAAACACCTATTCTGTTGGGTCCGTTAGAAAGAGCTAGCCTCAATCACTGGATGATTCACTGGAATTGTCCAGTGATTGAGTGATTTTTCCTTCACCTGAGGACGGAAACAGATCCAGTTTCCGAAATGTCGTGTTTCTATTAGTTATCTTAAAAACCAGGACGATGGATAAAGTCCAAAAACCCAATATATCACTGTGTTTATGGCTTATTTCACAATACTATCACAGCATTTCTCTTGAGAAAGTGTTGAAAATCATGAAAGCCAAACTCTGGGCCAAGAATCAAACCTGGGGCCTCCAGCATATAAACAATGACATGATCATGTCATTCTGCTATTAATGAAAGTGGTATGCAGACACATGTTATAGCCCAAACTCGTTCAAGCTCAAGAAACCTAAGATATTCATGAGTAAAAATCTCCAGACCAAATTCACATAGCAGTGTCTTGCCACCTGCTTTCATGCTGGCATCTTGCTCGGCTTATTCAACCATGAAGATGGAGACGATATGTTCCTCTGAAACGTCAGTTGACTTTCAGTGGACTACATGGCATTATGTACAAGAAGACAGTATTATTCATAACCACCACTGCGAGAACCTCAAATCGTACTACTGAATTCACATTTGATCAAAATATGTGTATATAGTTTGTACAAAGCACATAAGACAGCAAAATTGTGAAACATACACAAAGCATAAAATAAACAAAACAACTTCCGTACCACATTTAAAAATCTTATCAACGTTTGTACAGACATACCTCAATAAGCTCGTAGATGACAGCCTGCCCACGATAACTTTCACACTTTTCTTTTGCTTCTCTGTCTATCCTGCCAAGCACTGAATCATCCAGCCCACGAGGATTACGCAGTGAAACAACTGGTGCCACATCTGGATAGCCAGAAGGCAACTCAACCACCAATGTGAGGCAGACATACTGCTGTAATGCATCATCTGCAGTAGAAGGGAACACAACTGTCTCCACGGCCACTGGGTAACCACTGTAAAATTAAGAATATGCATCATAAAAAAGGAGACTTAAGTCCAAAATTATCATGCCAAACAGCAACACAACTAGACAAGGAATGCTACTGGAACTACAGGCTGTACCATTTAGAACAAAAACCTAAACAATAATCACGCACTATAATAAAAAAAATTAAATGTGAAGCTGTTTCCCCCCTTCAATGGACTCTCTTAACTTTCCTTGTGACACTTTGAGTCAAAATCACCTGGACTGCTATGCTGCTGCTGTTACCAGTTGCCCTGAAGCTTTGTAGCAGACAAACATGTATATTCATGAGCAGAACATTGATCATTCTTGAACATTACTTCACATCAAAACTACTCTACATTCATTGATGGTTTGTGTGCTGTCTGCAGTTTCTCAAATGCATATTGTGGCACCACTGTTCTTTAGGCAACAAGATCACAATCTTCCGATCAAATTCATTTCCCTATTTGAAGAAAGTGATAGGGACTGCTGCATTCAGCATGATGGAGCCACCGTCCCCATTTCAAACACAACTGCTTCACTGCAAGAGTTCTGTCACCACATTGCTGGGCATGGCCTCTTACCACCTTGAACTCCAAACATTATGTTCTGTGTCAATTTCTCAAAGAGTCTCTTTAAAAAATTCAATACAGCCTGGAGGAAGTGAAACACACCATTCAACAGACTGTTGCCAACCCCAGAAACACTTCACAAGAATGCATATAATATATTAAAATCTGTGGAATCCTGTCTTTGAGAAGGTGGTGCTTGTTTCAGCATCTTCTGTAAATCTGTTATGGAGGTTCCTTCCAATAACAAATAAAAACCAACAAATAACTTATCTCTCTTACTATCCTGATGTCACCTGTATGCCCTAAAGTCGTGAAACAATACAGGTATTGTTGTTGTTTGAGTCATGTTTTAATGATGGTACAGTCTGTACATCTGCATTATATATACTTCCATAATATAAGCAGCCCACTAACATAATTTCACCTTTTAACATGTGGCATTTACATCACACATCAGGGAAACATTATCATATACAGCAATTAAACAATACTACAATTATTCAACATCCAGGGCTTCAAGTAGGGTGAAATGAGGGAGGATAAAATCCAGAATATTTTCAGGAAGATCAAAAATGAACAGCAAGAACAAGAACATTAGAGACCTGTGCAGAGGAATAAACAAATTAAATGGGGTTACCAACCTAGAAGTAACTTTTTTTATTGCTAGTGGGGTGGGACTAAGTCCCTTATACTGCGGCCATTTCTGGCCTATTGTACCAGCCTCAGATGATAGGTGAGGGTGACTGAATATTTTCAGGAAGATCAAAAATGAACAGTAAGAACAAGAACATCAGAGACCTGTGCAGAGGAATAAACAAATTAAGTGGGGTTACCAACCTAGAAGTACCTTTTTTTTATTGCTAGTGGGGTGGGACTAAGTCCCTTGTACTGCGGCCACTTCTGGCCTATTGTACCAGCCCCAGATGATAGGTGAGGGTGATTGTGGAGCACTTGGTGGAATGAAGATTGGCAGGGGAAACCGAAGTACTAGGAGAAAACCTGCCCCAGCACCACTTTGTCCATCACAAATCCCACTTGACCAGACCCAGGATCAAACCTGGGCCGCTGAAGTGGGAAGCCAGCGACTAACTGCCTGATCTATGGTGCGGCCTAGAAGTAACTTAGTGAAGGATGAGAATGGTGATCTTCTTGCAGATACCCACAACATTTTGTATAGGTGGAAGAACTACTTCTCTCAGGTATTGAAAGTACATAGGGTCAGTGATGTTAGGCAGACAGAAATATATATAGCTGAGCTGTCAGTACCTGATCCTAGTCCTTTTAAAGTTGAAATTTTATTACAAAGTTGAAAAGGAATAAATTGACAGATATTGATCAAATTCTGGCAGAACTGACTCAAGCATGAGGTGAAATATTAAACTCTAAGATCCATAAGCTAATTACAAGGTTCTTTCTGAAAGTTCCTGGACTAGGTCAAAAAAGAAATGCTGGCTTAGTTTAATTTTGGCTGCCATCTCCTTCAAAATAGTCTATTTGGAAATGTATACAGCAATCCCATTGTTTTTTCCATGCTTCAAAAGCACCGTGGAAGTCATTCTCCTTAATACTGTCGAGTACCGCTTCTGATTCCCTTTGGATGTCAGATACTGCTTCAAGATGTCATCCCTTCAGTTTCATTTTCAATTTGGGAAATAAAGCAAAATCACAGGGAGGGCTAAGTCCATAGCTTAAGTCCATACATGGATGAAGTTATTAGGGATCATCAGTGTGGGTTTTGAAATAACATATCAACAGCTGATCAGAGTTTTTGCATTCATCAGATACTGGAAAAAAAAAAAAAATGGGAGTACAATGAGACAGTACAGCAGCTATTCAAAGACTTCAAAAACCTATGATTCAGTTAAAAAAGAAGTATTGTACAATATTCTCATATGGGGTACCCATAAATCTAGTTAGGCAGATTAAAATGTTTTTAAACAAAATATACAGTCTGTATAGGCAAACTTTTGTCTGATAATTTTTCTATCCAGAGTGGGCTAAAACAAGGAGACGCTTTATCGCCATTGCTTTTCAACTTTGCTTTACAATATGCCATTAGGAAGGTCCAGGAAAACCAGGTGAGACTAAAATTAAATGCGACATATCAGCTGCTATTCTATGCTGATGATGTGAATCTACAGAGTGATAATAAGGATACCATAAATAAAAACACAGAAACTTTAACTGATGCTAATAAGGAGGCTGGTCTAGAAGTAAATACAGTGAAAACTAAGTATATGTTACTGTCTCATCACCAGAATGAAGAGCAAAATTATGACATAAACATAGGCAACAGATGTTTTGAAAATGAGCACAGTTCTGATTTTTGGGAACAACTGCAACAAATCAAAACCTGATTCAGGAGGAAATTAATAGGAAACTGAATTCAATTAATGCTTGCTACCATTCAGTTAAGAACCTTTTGTCTTCTTGTCTGCTGTCTAAAAACATAAACATTAGAATATAGAAAAATATAATTTTGCCTTCATTACTTGTATTCTTTACCCAAATATAATTACAGTGATGGAGTCAAGGAGGATGAGACAGGCAGGGGGAGATAAGGAATGCATATAGGATATTGATGGAAAAGTAAAAAATAACGAGACCACTAGGAAGACCAAGAGGTAAGTCGGTGGACAATATTAAAATGGATCTTAGAGAAACAGGATTGAGTGGTATGGACTGGATTGATCTGGTTCAGGATAGGGGCCAGTGGCAGGCTCTTGTGATCACAGCAATGAACTTTTGGGTTCCAGAAATTGCTGGAAAATTCTTGAATAGCTGCACAATTGGCAGCATCTCAAGAAGGGCTCAGCTCATTTATTATTATTATAACTAGAAACATGCAAAGTAGCAGAACTAAGAATGTCAATGAATGATGGGAAAGTATGCATAATATGAAGATATAATGACTTTTGTGTGGCATAAGTCACAATTTTGAATTCCTTTTTTACTTGCTGTGGTTTCTGAACAGAGAATATTTTCATACTTGTTGTGTATGATATTTCCCACTTAATTTTCCCCACATCTGATCCAAAGTGTGTGTAGAGATACTTAAGCCTTCCCAACCTGTCAGAGCTGGTGAGAGACATTCAATTTCCATCAAGAATCTTCTTCATAAGCAGGTGGAATACTTTACACTGAAGTAACTTCAAGTTACCTCACATAGATAATCTTCATTGTAAACTGTCTTATACACTTGACGTATTTTGACTCCTGCTGCCTATGGTTTGTGAGTAGCTCTACTGAGGGCTCCAAAGGGTAGTTTCTTTTTACATCATATCCACCAAAAGACAGGTTTAGAGTTATGTTCTAAAAATGGACTCTTAATGTTTGCAGGGAGGGGGGAACTTATTCCTCTAGTGCTCTTATGTACTAGATTTTCATCAACAGGACAATATGCCAGGAGGCTGCATGATTATTTAATAAACAGCTTTGAATAGGAAACGCCAATCAGAGCAAGTCAATGTTTCACGTTTCCACAGCAGATGTTATCGACTGCAAATAAAATCCAACTCTTGCTGCAAGTAAATATGAAACTAACCTTTCATTAGTTCGCACTATTAACTCGTCCATTAGAATAGCCTTCAATGCTTCCACCTCGTCGACAACCCTGCCAAATAAAAATACGAAATGACAGAATGCAACTGTGGAAACCGTCGGCAGAACACAAACAATTCATGTATTTCCCTTATTATTTAAGTGTACAAGCGTGATACCTCTCCTCAACGTCGTTCGACATAGTCCTCGTTTTAATCAAACTCGTATCGTTATCACAAAAATTAAAGACAGGCTCGTGACTAAATAATCAATTACATACGACAGACAGAAGACACTTTCAGCGCATGCCATTCTCTACGATAAATCACTCATTGTATGCAATGTTAATTTTGAGATCAAAATTTCTCTCTTTTAACACAGAATGTCCCACATGTTATGCCGTCTTGGAGCAGAGTATACTACATAGTGGGAACGATTTTCTTGGATGTAGCGTTGTGTATTTATTTGACCGCAGCGGGATGAAATAATATGAGGCTGGACAAAACTGCATATAGAGGACCTACATACTTTGTATTCCTCCCTTAAGATAATTAGGAGAATCAAGTGGAAGAGGAGGTAAGCACGGCATGTAGCATGCATGGAGAAGCGGAATACATAGGTTTTCGTGATGGCAACCAGAAGGAAAGAAACTACGAGGAATACCTAACAATAAACGGCAGGATAATATTAAAATGGGTCTTAGAGGGATAGAACGAGGGAGTATGGAATGGTTTAATCTGCTTAAGGACAGAGACCTGGGACAGGCTCTTGTGCACGTGGTACTGAACCTTCGGCTTATATAAAATATTGGAAAATTCAACAGTTGAGCGACAAGTGCCTTCAGAAGAAGGGCTCGGCTCCATGGTGTTAGTTAAGCCACTGTGGTTCGGAGAAACCCCACTTTTACCTTACCTGTAGGACGAGGGCACACCAAGGAAACTGGCAACCACAATTTCTGGGAAAAGTAACAGATTTCAGGCAGGCAACTGGTTTCCAGATTAGCAGGTGCACACTGAGAAAACTTGTTTCATTAGTTGCTCACACCTAGTCTGACGTAATGCATGATTTTATCACTTAATGTTAAGCACCTATCATCTGCAGTAGAAGATAATAGTACTGATCCTGTCATAATACGGTGGTAGTTGATATAGGTTGAGACAGCGTGAGAAAAGTGGACGACAATAATATATTGGGACATTAAGTTCAATTTATTTTAATCATCGCGTTCACATGCAATACAAAATTTTGACATACAATGCAACAATTTTAGCAAGACAGGACACACCTGATGATGGCCATATACAGCCAAACCATGTAATGTGGAAGAAGGGTGACTATATAATGGTGGAAATATATGTATGCTTAAATACAACATTAGGAAAAGAAAACATTGGGTGCATCCGTTCTTCTGTGACAATTTAAACTGAGGTGCTTATATTGTTTCACAAAAACTTAGCCTGCATCCAGACTCCTTCATCTCGTGAGAAATTCTTTCCCAAGCCAAATCCATTTTGTCTTGCCTAGCTTAGTCTGGGAGGCATTTGTCATATAAGGCAGGCTCTTGCTCAATTAACTCCACACAAAAACAAAATTAGCAGCTTCATCAAAGTTTTGTGCCATTTTAAGAAACAAATGGATCACTGATGCATGTTATAGAACAACTGACACTAGGAAACTATGTGTCAACACAATTGTGAGAACACTGGCATGCTCCATTGCCTGGAAGTTGAGCTTCTGTGTTTCTGCAAGTTGCGTTGCTGTTTCAACAATTTGCACTGCTGCATTCAGTAACATGTGTTCAACCCAGGCTGATAACGATTATCGTAAATTGAAGGTTGCCAGTTTCCTTGGTGTGCCCTTGCCCTTGCCAGTCCATGAAAATAAAAATTACTGAGCTATAACATAGCTACAGAGGACCTGAAAAACAGTTCATAAAAACTAGCTTACCAACAGGCAGGGGGAAAGGGATCACAGATATGTCTTTTACTGCCTGTTCCACAATAAATGCTGAAATGTTGTTAAGAATAAAACAACTTATCTTTAAAGGAAGATGAGGCAGTATAAAGGACATAAACCAAAATCGTTCTAGATTTTAACAAGGTTTTTTAAACCACATTTGTAAATAAACTAATTATAACAATACATATTTTAATAAATTCAGGCATGTCGCTGTAGTTGTTAAAGGCTAAGATTTTATATTCATGACGTTGTAATGGTATTGTATGTATGTATTGATAATGACCAATACATCAATGAAGGTCGCAGTGCAAGGGACAGATTTTATGGTCCACCCCTTACACACATTGATAATGACCAAGCACATTGTTTCTGCATGTATTGATATGTCCTTCTGAAGATGGTCGCTCTGATTGGAACATGTCAAGGATGAAAGATTAAAAAGGAAAAAAAAAAAACATTATCAAGCACAATGAACGGAGTTGATAATGTTACTGTGATGGCCCTGGATGAATCAAATCAATTTGTCTTAGAATCCTATCAGAGCTTATTCTTTCTAGATTCTTCTATACTAGTTATAAACAAAATCTGGTAGCGATAATACTTTTGTCTTCATTCCTTTGGCTGAAAAAGTTGCAGACTGTTGCTGACCTCATAAAACAGAGTATAGCTGACAATTTTTTCTCAACACTACTCCATGTGATCTGCACCTCACCGCAGTCAATATTGGTACAGTCTGTTCTTTTATTTAGCTCTAAATCTTTTTGTCCTAAGAAACCAGTATTACCTTGAGCATGTTTCATGATACCTGGCCTTTGATATACAGTAATTTATAATTTACGTATTCACTTCTTTCTTCTACAAATTTTACTTCCAATCAATCTCCTCCCCACCTCTACATGCATTAACGGCAGCTTTTCAAACTTTTCCTTCATAAAATATTTTGAAACATATTATGTATGAGTACTGTCTTCTGGGTTGTGATGCTATGGAGTGTGGTGGAAGTTTACCAGTGTTTCAGAAGGACTTACTGCCTCAATAATCAGGGGTGAACAGTAAAACAAGCAAGCAGAAAACCATGAGTACCTGTAAAGTGAATACGGTACATGATCTTCAAATGGATGTAACAATAAAATGATGGAAACCTTGAATACACAAAACAAATAAGTAAAATATGATGAGTAAGTGAACTGATCCCACAGGAATTGCACACTAAGTTAGGGAAAACTTAGTGGCCTCCGTAGTCTAGGGGTAACGTTCCCACCTCGTGACTCAAGGTACGCGGGTTCAAACCCGGCGGAGGTCGTGGAATTTTTAAAGGGCGGAAAAATTCAGGGAACAAGTCCTCCGGGAGGGACTTTAAGCCGTGGGTCCCATGTCATAGCTTTACAGCACGTAAAAGAACCTTATGTCCCAAGGGGACCACTGAGCCAAATTCAGGACATTTCCCGCCCAACAGTAGTCTCTAACGCCTCTGGTAGATGAGGGAAGCATCGAGATACCGCTGAGCCAGTAGAGGCCGAACTCGCTGGCTGAGTCGGAACTGACGGCACGCACCACTACCGGTAGGGAATAGAGACTGGTAGAATATCATAGGGGGACGCACAATGGACCAACAGTTGGTCTAAGTGCAGGGTGAAACCCACCCTCTCCAATACAATACAATACAATAGGGAAAACTTTAAATTGATGAACAGTAAATAGGAATTACAAAGTTCTGCTTTGTTTCACATAAATAACAGATATTTTTCTACGTGATGTGCACTGTCAGCTTGCTGAGCCTATGACAACTTCATATGAGCTGCTTTAGCTGCCCTGACAGACCAGCTACCACATGAATGCTAGGGACTACATTCCCAATTAACTTGACACTGTAAGACGGGCTCCTACTTCTGAGAAAATTACATAAAGAGTCTAGAGAGCTGGGAAGTTTTGTCATACTGCTCAAGATATAATTTGGAATGGGAAAATGGCAAAAACGATCTTATCTGATTTCAGAGGTAACAGGAAAGTGCTTACAGGGGCATAAACAAAAATGGATCATGCTGGGAGTACCTCTTACTGACACCAAAAGGAGAAGGTTCCTTCAGTAGTAATTTATAAAAAAGATAGTCAAAGTAATCTATCACTGCTTATAATGTACAAAATGTATTACATGGTAATAGTAGCAGTAATAATAATATGTATAATCATATATGTAATGTATCATAAAAAAGTCTGGAACACTCTGGAAAGTTAGTGTTGGTTTTTAACTTTTTTGGCCCCTTCTGAACTGCATAGTACCCGAATTGAAGCACAAAAGCAATTCTTCAGACTTGCAAGTTCCAAGATTTTTTAAAACTCCAGGGTAAGAGTTAATGTTTGAGATTTCACTAGCTTATGCACACATTTACATCTCCAAAAGTGTTCAGGGACTGTCAATCACCTGCATGATGTAATGATCTTAAGATCAATAAACTGTGCATTTCACATCAACAGGCCTGAACACTCATTCAGTCAGTTCATGCGAACAGAACAATTCTGAACACACACACACACACACCCTCCACTTTCTAAGCAGCAATCCACAATAGCTCTCACATACAAAGACAATAAATATTATTGCATGTCTCCATATTTAATATACAGCTGCCTCTATAAACACATGTAACTGCCATAGGAAGCACACTGTCGCATGACTAGATAAAACAATCAGCTGTGTTTGTCAAAAAAAAAAAAACAACAATAATACCTTAACAGATGTATATATATATATAAATATTTATATATAGAAACCTGCACCTCTTATGCTTACACTGCAGACGAAAAAAAAAATCACATTATGGAGTAGCACATTCTGATACTTCAGGTATACTTAAAAGATAGCTAGGTTAGAAAAACTTACAAAGAAAGGAATGAATGAATGACAGTATTATGGAAGTTGTTTTAGTTGCTTATTTCTTATGGTTGATAACAGTCTCTTTTAAGGTGCACACGATTCATAAAATAACTACAATGACACATGGTTCCCAGAGGCTTGCACTGCCCCTGTTACAGCTGCAGCTAAATGAACATTACTGCCACTGCACTACTATCGGCTTAATACTTCACTGTAGTGAAAACCTAGAGTTCTGAAATTAACTTAGTACATTCACCACACTGATAATGCATTTAAAACACAGAAATCATTAACTATACATCAACATGGCATTCCAGAGATCACATATGATGGATAGGTGCGCAAAGTGTGACATTCACAAACAGTAAAAATCAATAAGATCTAAAAGTTTGTGATGATGGTACATTAGTACAAAATATTATGTTTTTGGAGTCGCCCATGACACCTCGTATAGAAAAGTGTGCTCTGTCAAACTTGACAACCAGCAAGTTGTGAGCATATAGAATGCTTTGTGCTCACAATCTCCAAATGGGGAAATTACATGAACTGAATGTCACCAAGTTTTTAGAATCAACAACTGCATACAAAAGCAATTATAAAAGAAGGAACTCTGGTAAGACATTCTAACCAACTAACACCCTCTTGAAGAACTGTATAAGGAAGGGAATTCATGGGAATCCAGTCACCAGACTTCACTTTAAAAATAATTTCCATCACAAGAAATTTATCAACAGAGAAGCCCCATAAAGACATCTGTCAATCTTTGATGAGTTCATGTTACAGCTTGCAAAAGAAGGAAGAAATATAAAAACTACATCACCACCAGAAGGAAGAATTGGCTAACATGGCACAACCAACTGACAAAGTATTTTTAAAAAAATACCCTTCATGGAAGAAGATAATTCTTGTTATGGAACAGTACTTGCCTCCTCTTTTCATAAACTTAGTCTATTTTATAAAAGTTGACTATGAACTATCAACTTGGCCATTAATGACTGCTAAGAAGGATGAGGTTATTATTCCATGTACCCACATGAGTTCCTCATCCACCATTTAAAACTGGAGATAGGTTATCATGAATTGCAATAGATGTAGCAGCCATAACAAAAATTTATGTCTTACAAACATGAATCACAGCTCTTGTACCACATTTTCGTGAAGATACCATCTATGTAGTTTTATTTTCGGCCGCGCCATAGCTCAATGAAACAGTTAGTTGCTGGCTTCCCACCGCGGCGGCCTGGGTTCGATCCCGGGTCTGGTCAACTGGGATTTGTGGTGGACAAACTGGCACTGGGGCGGGTTTTCTCCAGGTACTTCGGTTCCCCTGCCAATCTTCATTCCACAAAATTCTCCATCACCATAATCACCCGGGGCCTGCTACAATAGGCCAATCAGGGGCCACTGTGCCAAGGGGATCCAGTTGGACTCCACCCCCCCCAAGTGGTTTTCTTTAAATGTGGTTTTATTTAGAGATGGTCTCCATAAATTAATGTAATTTAATCAAAATCATAATCTGTTTTCAAGAAAATAACCATTTCGTACTTTTGAACCCAAATGAAGGGCCCCTATTTTTGGAGTTAGAATCCTTATATTTACCAGGCAGTGCCCTACAACAGATAAACTCCCAAATACTGAATATGAATAAAACCTGTCCAAACGTTCAAGCACTAGTGATATCTACTCACACACAATGACACACAGCACATAAAGAAAATCATTGTTTTGAGTTCACATCAGCTGAAAATAAACAAGTCCATCAACATCTCCCAATTGATTTTTCCTCACCACCACACTGTTTTCTCACATTCATGTTTATGTCATTAATGATGTGCTTATCTTAATGTAACACACTTGGTTTCTCACTCAAATGCATAAGAAAGTGCATCATGCAAACATTTTCTGGACACCATCCTGATTTTAGCCTTGTCGTTAACAATTTGCAACCAGTGCTGATAGTAATATCAGCAGGCTTTTGTTGCGAAGAGACCAAGCTGGTATTGGCACAAATCGAAAATTTAAAAAAAGTGACAAAAAAGAAAACCATCTAGAATACCACCAGAAATAATGCACTGCTGAAGAGCCCCAAGTTTGTAGTTTTACTATTCATAAGCAGAACTTTCTTTGTCATAGATTTGCAATATGGCACCATTGCATTTACTCAGCCTCTTGCTGGGTTTGTTTTTCTCCATAATAAAGGCTGTGTGCTCTTAGGAGCCAAGGTGCTCTGTTTCTTTTCTCTCCCTGTCAATGCTCTGTTGTGTCTTCTCACTCTGTGAAGGTTAAGTGTTCAGGAGTTACACATTTCCTGGTCTAAAAATAATCACATTTTGTTTGGAACTTAGGGCCATCATTCATTTCACTTTGCTGCTCAATCCATGTGACATGGAAGATCTCTTTCATGCCATCATTATTAATTACAATGTGGCAGATTCAGACTTATATATATATATACACAAAACTGAAGACATCCAAAATAACAGATATTCTGAGCAGTAACAGTGATGAAGATAAGATAATTTCTCAACCACTAACAGCCATGAGAGAAGATGAAAAACCACAGAAGTGGATTATTCAGAATTACAATGCAAACAATATTCAGTAAACATACCTGTATTTGATATTGGGTTTTCAGACTTTATCCATCGTCCTGGTTTTAAGATAACTAAGAAAACCATGATGTTTCGGAAACTGGATCTGTTTCCGTCCTCAGGTGAGCTCTTTCTAAGGGACCCAACAGAATAGGTGTTTTCCCTCACCTGAGGATGGAAACAGATGAAGTTTCCGAAATGTCATGTTTTTCTTAGTTATCTTAAAACCAGGACGATGGATAAAGTCTGAAAACCCAATATCTCTGTGTGTTATACACCATCGTCAGAATCCTAAAGTAAATACCTGTATTTCATTGTCTTATGTGACTAAACCTAAAATTAGAAATAAAAATACCGATTATAATACATACTGAGGATCTCTTCTTTAAGAAGTTTTCAAGGGGCTACGAAATATGAACTTCTTAAGAGGGAAAACATCTTAAATGGGTAGGCTTCAAGATGTTTACAGATTTAATTATACACCTTGCAGAAAATTAATGGAGTAAACATCATATTTTTGCATCAAATAAATGACTAAAACACTAAATACATATGCATTCAAACATGCACTACATGTTCATGCTTATGGTTAGAGTCGAATATTCTGCTCTGAAACGTCATTCTTTCTTCAAGAACATGCCTTGTCTTTCAAACAAAACTGAAGTAAAATTTTCCAGTTTCCTGAGGCTTCTGATGACTGACTTTGGCACACCAGGAATGCCACTACAGAAATGGTGCTGCGCACACTGGTCTAATAACTAGTGCTTTCAAGCTTTTTGGTGCCATTCTCCTTTCCAAATATCTAAGAACTGCAAGAGCACTGCATAAGTTATCCATGCTCTACTGTTATGTCTGTATGTACACGGAACAGTCTCCACATGCTTGAAGCACCTTGGCTTCTCTGACTTTGCAGTAACCAGCAATGGCATCTTTTTATATCAATTCAAATTTTCAAAAATGAGTGCAGTAATTTCATGTATACTCCTACTGACCTCATGAGCATTTTCATTTTTGAAAGCAAGTGTCTCGTCTGGGACTAGGCTGAGAAACAATCCACACTCTTTTGCATGGAATACATCCTTTGGATAGTATTCACTCAGAAGCAATGGATAAATTCACATATTTCCTCTTCAGTTACGCTTTTGGATATTAGGATGGGTGGTAGGATTACTTACTGGACACTGTCACCTAAAAGGACACCTTTTCAAACTGGGACTGACAGATGACCCGAACTGTGAAAGGCGCCTGCAAGAAGACGAATGAGCCACACATATCCTATGTGATTGTGAGGCCATAGCTTACTTAAGATTTTGTCACTTGGGTCAGTTCTTCATGGAACCAAGTGACTTTTATGACGCTCCCATAAATAATGTCCTACATTTCATTCAAAGTGTAGGATTAATAAAGTGTTAACCTAAAGGAGAAGCACAATAGATCACTGAAGGTTGCAGTGTGAGGGCCAGATTTTATGGCTCACCCCTTACATACATTTTTGGATTCCCACTCACTAAAATGTGTTATATAATGACTTAATATAGCATCAGGTATTTAAAAATGTTTGCATAGAGTCTGTATTTTGTAAATGGAATTTTTGCTTTCAGCTTGAGCTTTTACATTTTTTCTACAGCATTTGCTATTTGCGCACCTACCGTGACAGTTATACATATACAGCCTACCTTATCATCAGAACAACGGCATACACCAACATGGACATCTCTAGACACAGATACAACCAAGAGTAAATTACAAGGGTGGAATTTCTTACTTACTCTGTAAGCCAGGGGAGAAATTACAAGCATGTATAATTCATGTAAGATTTGAGGCTTTCACGGCGGTGACTATGAAGAAAGCAGTCTTCTGGGATTTGGCACCGTGTATATGTGGTGTTAACCGACGTTTCGGAGGAACGTATCGCCCCCATCTTCAGGGTTGAAGAAGTATAAGTAAATCTGCAAGCGACAACACCGTGAGACACGGTCAAGCAGTCTGCTTGACCGTGTCTCACGGTGTTGTCGCTTGCAGATTTACTTATACTTCTTCAACCCTGAAGATGGGGGCGATACGTTCCTCCGAAACGTCGGTTAACACCACATATACACGGTGCCAAATCCCAGAAGACTGCTTTCTTCATGTATAATTCAATTAAATAAAATTAGCATGTTCAGCTAATCACATGCTGTTTATGAGATGTTCATATAAGATTCAAACTGTGGTCCTCTGGGTTGTGAAAAATCATGTAGTCTTGTATGAGGACACTGAGAAACATGCTACCTACACCTTCACGGTAGAACTCACAGGATGTCATGATATCACAACCCAGAAGGTTACGACTTGAACCACTGTCAGAATTTAAAATTATGCTCATGTATGACATTTATACATAAATGCGGGAGCGGATGACATGAATTAAGGCATAATGTTAATGAACCTAGCATTAACTTCAGTACCAATGCCTATGTTACATCACTTCTTGAGCTCAAGATTCATATTTACATCATTTATGCACCATGAGAGGGATCGGAATTATCAAGAGAAGAAAATTAAGATATTTTCATCCCTGTTATAATAAAATACAAATGTTAAATTCTTTCCATCCCTGACATTTATCATAAATGACAAGTGCTCTTACCCCATTATGTACAAGCTAACACTGAGTCAATGAGCTTAACAATTTTCCGAAATATAAATTTCTCCATATCTCAGCTCATACTGGATTCAACGATGTTGTGAATGTTAAGCTATCTCAGCTGAGTTGTTGTGGCAGTCCTGGACTAGCATGGCACTGCAGGAAGTAGTACAGGATGCCAGCCTGAGCCATCACGTCTACAGTACCAGCTGCCAACGGATCAAATCGCTGCTGTCGTGAACCTGACTCAGACTTCGCAGAGCCCAGACAGCCAGGACGGAGTAATGTTGGGCCAAATACTGTAGCCAGGTTGTGCAGCGACATCTTGTTCTGAGCTTCATGCTGGTTAACCCTGTGAACATTCAAAAAGTAAACCGACCTTGTCCTTGTCCGAGAAAACACATGCCTAATGAAATAAAATAAAATATCAAATTCATTAAGGAAATTTATAGAAAGAATATATGTACTGTTTCATAATCCCACAGATACTCATGATTTAAATCGTTTTAAGGATTCCAAAAGATTTTATTAACACTTCCTCTTCTGAACCACAGTACTGAATTCCTTGTGTCTGTCTTTTCTCTGCTTCAACCAGAGCCTTCAATAGGCTTTAACATTTGCTCTGATGTAACTGAAGGCTCCATGTTTACACTTTCTTTTTATGTATAATCAAAAAAGCCCTACTTCTGGCCGGGATACAAAAATTGGTGTCACGGGCCACCATGCTGCACTTGGTGAGTCATTAGTATAATTCTGATGACAGCGAGACTTTTTGTTTCATTCAGAATGTGACTGAGGATATGAAATGACACGATCAAATTAGAAGAACTGTAAACTGTAAAGTAAAGTAAAGCTATCCCTGTAACAGGCCGTGAAGGCCCATAGGGTTGTGACATGTTGAGGGTCCCACATTATCTAGACAATCAGCTCAAAGATGGCGGTAAGGTGGTCAGCCTTACGCATTGGCCGCACTTTACTCCCCAGGAAAATTATTTAATTAATTCCTGGTACTCATTTCTGTTAGAGGCTGAGTTGACCCCAGGGTCATAGTGTGGCCGGAAGGATTAGGTCAACCGAAAAAATCCAATGACCTCATAGGGACTTGAACCCCTGACCTTCCGGCTTGTAACATAGTGCCCCACTGTATACGGTTCACGATCAAATTCTGAAAGGGGTTAATTCACTTAAGAGTACTGACCTTATCTGTCTGCCCTGCCAAAAATATTTAGTGAATCCAAATAACAAGTTCTATTTAAGTTGACATGTAAGTACAGAGAAAAAGTAGTCCACGTCCCCAGATGTCTGTATTTGTGAGACTGTACTGTGTTCCCTCGTTAGTGATTGTCTTCTTACCTGATAAGATGAGCCAAGAGATAGTTGATAATATTCTGATTCTGTTGCGGTAACATACTAAAACACTGATGCAGCATGGCACGCCTCTTGCTGGCTGCCTCATTACCACCTGAGCTACTGAATGCATCAAAAAACTTTGGATAAAGCTCATCTGTAAAAAGAGCTTCTGGTAACTCTCGCAGGTACAGTTTCAAAATCCCAGTCACAGAATGGACGTCCACTTCCTTCAACAGTTGCTCTGCTTCATACGAGTCTGTTGAAAAGAAAAACAAACTTGACAGTGAACAATATGACAACTGTACACACAACATGAACTGCAATATGTTACATGATGTAAGCATTCATTGCAAATAAATGAACTGTGGCACATTATTCCCTAAATACTAGCCAGAGCTATGGAATGTTGTGTGAAGGAGGCCACTGAGATCAAGCTACATCCCAGTTATTTTGACAGATGTGGGGGACAAGTCAATCATGGAACCTGAATATTAGTGTGCTCAAATAATTCATATACCTGTATGCTGCATGTTCCAAATTTAGCAACAGATATCTATGTCAGCGGCAAGGTGGGTGACCATGTGATGGACCTCACTGTAACCCCAGACTGAAGAGAATTGATATGGCTCAGTTCTGGTACACTGACCATTTGACTCCTGCTGCTCTCTCACTTGCTAGTTTCTGGACAATATGCACCACTAATCACATCCACCAGACACACAGAGAGAATTTGAAACATTAATTTTTACTCCATTTCAATATGGCTGATTGTCAGACTTCACTGCAGATTACAACCAGTAGACATGAAGTTTCCACAGAGTATCAAAAGATGAATGAAGGACAGGATAATGTGAAACAAGATCATCAAGGTAGATATGAAGAGAACTACAGTAAAAATAAGAGAGACATTGAAATGAACCCTGTTCAGACGTTCTAGGCAAAAGAGTAGAGACTATTAAAAATGGTTTCCATGGGCACTGAGGCAGGCATCCCAATGACACCTCAACTGATGGATCTCCTCCCCAGAAAACTACCTTGGATGTTTTGAAACTACTGAACCACTGCAGCTTTGAAGTCTTTGTCTGACACAAACCTACAGTCCTTTGGCATCTTTGTTTGACCCCAATCTGTGATCTTTGGACTGTAGGATCCTTCAATCCTGACATCCCCATTACTGCATGGTGCTATTGTGAAACCCTGTGAGATCTTTGTAACAGCATCAAGAAAATGAGTCCCAGCACGCTCATGAGGGGTGTCACTGTGTTGCATAACAGTACCCATCCATGCGTCACCCATACAATGGTTCAAGCGTTTGGAAGTGTTGGACTATCCCACACGTAACCCAGACCTGTCAGCATGGCAAGGCATCACATCCCAGAGGATAGTACTCATCTTCATAGACAAGTGTGTGAAAGGAATAAGACCAGGTATAAAATGGAACAAGCAGCCAACCAATGTTTTGCTTTCTGTTATATGTTACATTAACTTGTAGCCATTTCCATTATGCAGCAAGATGTGTTGTGACACTCACTTGTTTCAAAAGACTTCTTGAGACGACCCAGATCAGAGGCAGAACCAGATACTCGATAGATCCCAACTTCAGCCATACCCCGACGCTCAACTTCCCTTACGCATGCTGTCACAATAAATGGAACTTCTCTTTTCTGGCGCCTGAAATTGTCATGTTAAGTAACTCTGTGATTACATACCATGGAGAAGAATTCTTTACACACAGTAAAGGAACTGTAAGGTGTTTCTGATAAAACTCCTAAAGCCTACTTTCCAATTTCACAGGCTTTCAGTACTACAGCACTTGTACAGTTTGAGGCCCTAACAGCAGTGGTTATGAAGAGTTCTGTCTTCTGGGATATAACAACATGTGGTCCATTGAAATTCAACTGAGGTTTTGGAGGAATATGCCATCTTCAGGGCGCTGCTCGCTTGCTACTTGCTTCATATTGGTTTGGTGCTTGGCCTATTTTTTGACCCTGATGATGAGGAAAGCATTTTCCTCAAACATTGTTGATTGCTTTTCAGTCTACTACATGGTGTTATATCACAAAAGAGAACTCTACAAATCTCAATTTGCTAATGCAGCATTTAAGTAATAAATTTAAGACTGCAATAATGTAACACAATCTCGATGAAGGGATAGCATGCTGGACTTGTGTAAGGAATGTCATATGATCAAATACTAGTGGTGCCAGCACATTTTGTCTTTGTAAAATATGACAACCACTCGGTTGTCCAACCTGTAGCCAGTTGTCATACTCACTGCACTATCTCAGCTCTTCACATGCTTATAGGAAGATCATAAAATTAATTTACAAATGCACTTTTTCTGTGCAGACATGTACTCTAGCACAACACTGTGTTGCACAGAATCACCACCCACTCCGGTAAATATGGTAGTACACTTCAGCACGCTGTGGAAAATGTGGCCACTGTTAAAAATTACTTTGGTGAAGAAAATTTGTCTACTATAAAAGATTCTCATTTCTGCTTCAATTCTCGAAATTGTTATGAATTTCTGTCTTAATCTTGTCTCAAAATGAAAAAGTCATACCTGCACATGCCTCCAATATACCACAGCCAATACATAATGAACAAGAGTTGTCACAAAACTTTACAGAATCGATGAGGCAAAATGTAGTATAAATTGACCGTACTTGCAAACTTGTTGGATCTTGGCTCCAAACAGGCCAGCTGTGCGAGACGTTGGTACACGACGAAGGGTTACTTCGCTTGGTACAAACCGCAGTGTCACCAAGAGGGAGCAGTGGTGCATAGGAACCAACTTATCCACAGCTCTTTCTCCAAGCCATGACCGACTTAACTGAAACAATATTACAGATTCTTCAGGACCATATACCAATAATGGATGTTGTGGAAGCTTTCAAATTTTCCCATAACAGTAGTGTATATTCTCAATAAGCAGCCTTCATAATATTCATTCATCAGTAATCTGTCAGACGACAGGTCCACAGTCTCTTCCAAAACAGTTACTCCACTTAATGTGATCTAGAGCTTTCTCCTTCAAATAAAAATATCCTCTTCTGTCCCCAAGGTCATCCAGCATCTTCTTAAGTCTTCTTCGTCTTCTGGATCTCGCATACATGGTATCTCTGTTTTTGGAAAGAGACTATCCAGGAAAACTGTTAATGTGGTAGTTTTTCTATTTGCTTTCCACATCGCAGTACAAAGCCGTTCAAACCACTCTGGTCGTGCCTGTTGCTATACAAACCATCTCGAGCATCATTTGCTCTGTGCTTCAAGTCGCTGCTGATGACGCTGCTTCCGGCATCCGTTTTTGGTTTTTGGTGTCTCTCTTCGTCTGATGCCTACCCTTTGAGTATGCCAAGGACCCCTTCATAATATATCAGTATTTTTAAACAAATCACTTCTTCTCAACATTTATGAAGTCAGTTTCTTTGTACAAAGATTTTATTGACATAAATTAAGTGAACTATAGAATGTGCTTTTTTAGTGCATACCAATTAACGAGTATGATGTTTTAAATCATGAAGTGTGCAGTTGCATATGTAATGAATGGACAATATTAGTGCAATGTAGCAGTTTTAGCACAGTAAGACACCTGAACATGGCCATTCAGGGCCGAAACAAGTTGTGTCAAAAGTGGAAGCGTAAGAAAGAAGGAACAATTTGTTGCATTGCTGACGGATTGTGTAGTATAATAAATGGTATCAGCCGTCTTCTAAATGTTTACCCTTTCATTCTCAAATATAAGAACAAAACCTCAAATCAGAACTAAAAGCCACAGATGCAAAAGATACGTACAGCAGAGTGGTTTCAATTCTGCATATGGAAGAGGAACTGATGCTTCAAGTTCTGCATCAGGATTGGTTCCAACAGTGGGCTTTCAAGAACACAGTGATGAAACTTCACATTTGAAGACAATGAACCACAAGACAGTTATAGAGATGACACAGAAATATGACAGGTATGATACTTTCTCATGCATGCAGAATGACAGTGAATATAAACAATTACTTTACCTTCTGTGTGCTTTTAGCTCGGAGGATAGCGCGGTCCTGACTTTCTTCATACAAGAGGATACGCAAATTCTGTGAGCCCTCGAGTTCAATAACAAATTCTTCATTCCAGCGAGGATTAGCTGAGTTGCATACCAGTTTTGACTTCGCCTTACGAAAGTAGTGGCCATATGAATCCACTTCTACACATACAAACAAGTCTGTTGACAAACAAAACACAGTCAAGCATATGACCAAAATACTGACAGGTATCTGTAAAAAGACTCATTTGCATGGTGTCATTATAAGAACTGGAATGGAAGAATGCGATTCCTATTTAATGCTTCTCTTGGGGAAAGGTGTACTTGAACATGAAAGCAACATTAGAAAGAGAAAAACTAATGCTACAGAAACTGGGATGAGGAAATATATGAAAAATGATACACTCATCTGAACTTTAGCTGTGGATTTCAATCAATTATAGTTTATAAGTATTACTGTAAAACTTCAAAATTCATTTCATACACAGCGACTCTGCACATCTGATACTGGTCCACAGAACAGAGCACCCTTAATCAACATCAGTGGGTTAACAATTATCTGTCCATTATCACAAGCACAGAAAGATGAACTGGAGATATATTAATGATTTACATTCATGTATTTTTATATGTGCTTCACACAAGGTGAACTGGGCATGTCTTGATGCTGGGTGAGCACAATTCTCTAATCCCACACAGGGAACCAGAGACATGAGTTTGTTCTTAAAGGGCTCTGTTGGGTTTCTGGACTTCATCCATTGTCTAGTATTCCAAGAAAAATGCAAGGTTTTGAAACTGGATGTTTCCATCTTGAGGTGAAAAGGTGGGGAGGCACCTATCTGAGTCCACTAGAAAAAGGTAATCTCAATCAATCACATGACTGACCCTTACCTCGTCTGAATGGACCCAATTCAGGAGGAACCTCGGCATCTTGCACTGAGGATGGGAACAGATCCAGTTTACCATCCATGCCAGCACAGCCAATGTAACATTTTGCCCATATAAAAGTGTGAAGCGTTCTATATGGTTCCATAACAGAGGGACAAAATACTTAATGACTACCTGCAGGCTGGTCAAGATCTTGCAGTTCCTTTAGTGTAAGATGAAGATCACCAACCAACAAGCTTTCATCCCGACCTGTGCGCAGAAGATACGAGCCCATGTTCGTTTTGAGGAAGGTTCTGCAGGCAGTGATCCATGCCTGAAGTTCATACATACTAACTGTACTCATTCCTCCGGGGCTGGGAAGTTGGCAAGACTGGGGAAGAAATATGTATCATATACCACCAAAACTGTTTCTATAAAAAAGATTCAAAGCTGACAACTTTACATAAATCACACAATCTTAGTTCCATATGTAACAAATTCAGTTTCCTGAGAAATTAAACTACTAACATGGGAGAAAATCAATAATGTTGCTGACTGAATTGTATAGGTGCCTATTTTACTTTGAGGAAACAACAAAACTTACATGTTTCAAAGCGAGTGATAAGAAAAACATTTAGGCCTAAGAAGGATGAAGTAAATAGGCATTTTAGGTTATTATATTATGGTTTATGCAGATCAGTACTGTCAGGATAATGAAATCTAGTTTTTTTATTGCTAGTGGTGTGGGCCAGGGAAACCAGGTGGGACTGAAATTAAACAGGACACATCAGCTGTTGACCTATGCTCATGATGTGAATCTACTGGGTGATAATGTAGATACCATAAAGAAAAACACACAAACTTTAATTAATGCAAGTAAAGGGGTTGGTCTAGAAGTAAACACATATAAAACTATTAAAACTAAAATTCTGGACTGTATCCATCGTCCCAGTCAGTTGAACCACGATGTTCAGTGGTCCAGTGATTGAGATTAGCTTGATCTAAGGGACCCAACTGTATNACCTATGCTCATGATGTGAATCTACTGGGTGATAATGTAGATACCATAAAGAAAAACACACAAACTTTAATTAATGCAAGTAAAGGGGTTGGTCTAGAAGTAAACACAGAGAAAACTATTAAAACTAAAATTCTGGACTGTATCCATCGTCCCAGTCAGTTGAACCACGATGTTCAGTGGTCCAGTGATTGAGATTAGCTTGATCTAAGGGACCCAACTGTATAGGATACATAAGAACCCTCCTTACCTTTTAATTTTTTCTCCCATCTTTTCCCCCCTTTTTACCTCCATTTTACTTACCTGAGGACGGTAGCAGATCCAGCTTCCGTAACGTCGTGGTTCAACTGACTGGGACGATGGATACAGTCCAGAATTTTAGTTTTAATATCTATTCTCCATCGTCGGGATCCTTTAGCTCTTATTTACAGAGAAAACTAAGTATATGTTGTTGTCTTGTCACCAAAATGCAGGGCAAAATCATGACATAAAGATAGGAAACAGATGTTTTGAAAATGTGGCACAGTTCAGATATTTGGGAACAATGATAACAGATCGAAACCTGATTCAGGAGGAAATTAAGAGGAGATTGAACTTGGGTAATGCTTGTTACCATTCAGGCCAGAACCTTCTGTCTTCTCCTCTGCCATCCCGAAACATAAAAATTAGAATATATAAAACTATAATTTTGCCTGTGGTTCTGTATGGGTGTGAAACTTGGTCTCTGACAATAAGGGAGGAACATAGAATAAGGGTGTTTGAGAACAGGGTGTTGAGGAGAATATTTGGCCCGAAGAGAGATGAAGTGACAGGAGGTTGGAGAAAACTGCATAATGAGGAGCTTCATAACTTGTACTCTTCTCGAAGTATAATTAGAATGATCAGGCCAAGGAGGATGAGGTGGGCAGGTCATGTAGCACGAATGGGGGAGACGAGGAATGCATATAGGATATTGGTGGGAAAGCCAGAAGGAAGGAGACCACAGGGAAGACCAAGGCGTAAGTGGGTGGACAATATTAGAATGAGATAGGATGGGATGGTATGGACTGGACAGATCTGGCTCAGGATAGGGACCAGTGGAGGGCTCTTGTGATCACAGTGATGAACCTTTGGGTTCCATAAAATGCTGGGAAATTCTTCAGTAGCTGCTGAATTGGCGGCTCCTCCAGAAGGGCTCAGCTCCATAAGTAAGCAAGCAAGCAAGCTAGTGGGGTGGGACTAAGTCCCTTCTACTGCAGCCACTTCTGGCCTATTGTACCAGCCCCAGATGATAGGTCAGGGTGATTGTGGAGCAATTGGTGGAATGAAGATTGGCAGGGGAAACCGAAGTAGTGGGAGAAAACCTGCCCCAGCGCCACTTTGTCCAACACAAATCCCACAACCAGACCCGGGATCGAACCCAGGCCACCATGGTGGGAAGCCAGCGACTAACCACTTGAGCTATGGTGGGGCCTAAAATCTAGGTTACAATGGGCTGGACATGTAGCTGGAAGGGGGGGGGGAGACAAGAAACTCAGACAGAATTTTGGTGGACAAATCTCTTGTAAAGCATCCACTTTGAAGACTAAGATGTAGATGGAAGGATATAACTAGGATGGATCTTAGGAAAACAGGTTAGAAGTTTGGGGTGGATGGAAATGGTTCTTATTTCCAATGGCAGCATTTGGTATCAGTGGTGTACTAATTGCTCTCTCTACTGCCAGTTAGTCACATGAGAAGAGCATTGGCAAGCACTAATACAAACAATGTCTGCTACTATACATCACATTGACAAAATGTGTGCAGTTCACTTCCACCAGTCACTGAATACTTTTCTCTGTGGCTACACAGCTGTGAACATCTATCATGTTTATATTCAGGCATGGTGGCATACGGTACTGAATTACATGTTTCTTCTTGGCATTACAAAAGAAGGGGGAAAAAAGTTTGACAAATATATCCATTAATTTCATCGGCAGTATCCTGGTACATCTTTACCCATAAAATGTATGTGTTACAGTTGCAACAACCAAAATGAGTGATGACAAAAGAAACCCTCCTACACCTCCAAACAAGATTTAAGTAAGTCTAAAAAAAGAAAAAGAAAATCAGTGCCAAGAAAGTTGTATCTCCAAAGTGCCCATTCTTGGAACCCTGAAGATCCAAAAGCCCGGTGGTGAACCATACTCAACCTTCAGATTCAGTTCCAAGGCTTCACTTTTATAAAATATTTTGAACAAAAATATTACTTCAAACACCACTTCATTTGTTGATGACCAGGTGAGTGATAAATCGAGACATACGACAAGGAAGGATACACAAAGAACACTTTCTAAGGCTGTGGCTGTACCAGCTGTATTCACACATGGATAAGAAACATTTACTGTGTCCAGTGTTGGGGCAGGTGATACGAATTGCAGAGATGAAACTCCAAAGTTGTGTAGCAGGATATGCAAGACTGGTTCAAATAAGAAATACAGTAATTACAAAAGAACATAAATTCTTAATCTGAAAGATAAAATCATATAGCATTAATCTCTATGGAAAGATTATGTTTTACAAATGGAAACACATTATATGTAAAAAAAATTCCTAACAAATAAACCAGGAAGAGGAAAAGTATGTAGCATGCAGCATTAAGGTGACAAGATCAATATCCTCTTCAGAAAGACAAGAACAGGTTGTGCGTTTGCCTAATCCACAATAATGATGATGATTTGGAGGGGATGGTGGTGGTGAAGACAAAAATGACATCATCTAATTATAGGAAGTAATACTCCAGCAAAAATCCATACTGTACCTGGAGGGCATGTACTGCCTCTATCCACTGAGTGCGTTCAAATTCCGATGATAAGAAAAATGTGTATGTGCGAGCAGCTGAACGATTTCCTACTCGAAAGACCAAATTGGGTGATGCCAGCACCAGCTGTGCCTCCAGGTCTGCTAGCTTCTTTCTCTGCTTATCCGAGCCTCGACTTCCAAGCCTTAAACGCTGTCACCAAGGCCAACAGAAAAATGAAATCTGACATTTCTGTTTCAAAGCATCTGAAGTTCAGGAAGCAAATATGAAGTGTCAGAACCAAGTGAAGTACACACTTTTCTTGACTGCGCCTTGCAGCAGGCCTAGCATCACAGTGCTTACAACTCAAATCTCATTAATACCAGGTCCAATTATGGCCACCTGCACCACAACGGCAGGAGATTACAGATGACAAAGGTTAAAGTACACAATATTATGTCAAAACTTTAGATTCCCACTGCAAAGACCACTATCTTCTGGGATGTAACACCATGTAATCTGTAGGTATCCACGGATATTTCACAGGGATGTCAGTAAACACCTACCATACTGTATGGTACTGTATGGTGTCATTCCAGAACACAATAATCTTAGCTGGAAATACAGTTAGACAACATTCTGATAAATGACAGTAAGCATGTGCTAGGCCGCACCATAGCTCAAGCGGTTAGTCACTGGCTTCCCGGGCTCGATCCCGGGTCTGGTCAAGTGGGATTTGTGGCGGACAAAGTGGCACTGGGGCAGGTTTTCTCAGAGTACTTTGGTTTCCTCTGCCAATCTTCATTCCACCAACTGCTCCACAATCACCCTCACCTATCTATCATCTGGGGTCGTACAACAGGCCAGAAGTGGTCGCAGTACAAGGGACTTAGTCCCACCCCACTAGCATTAAAAAAAGCATGTGTTATACAATAAAAGAAATAGAAAGGTCTTCACAATTACAGTAAGAAGACATTACACATTAAACCAGGATTCATATATTATGCTGAAATGAAGGAATGTGAAACTCATTATTCATTCCCTTAATAAAAGTAAGATATGTGAGTATGTTCGGGTAGTATAAAAGCGTTTGGTTTTGCAAGATGCAAGATTTTCTTGGTTTCATATTTAGAGCACAATAAATAAGATGTTCATACCTTCTCAAATGTCAGAACAAAACACCAATGTTATATAGTTCCAGTGCTGAAAGTGTAATTAAAACTATAATGAGAAATATTTTATCAGGCATAACACTGTATAAACATGGCAGCCTCTTACCTTATCATCATTTCTTTCATCCCACAAAATCTGGTCACGTACAGTACATGCCTGAGATTTCAGTGCCACAATATTAGGAGGTGAATTCTCACGAGGCTCAACAGCCGGCTCTTCAAATATCACAATGTCACTCAAAGGAATGTACCATTTCAACTCAAAAGTGAATTTGTCTCGTCCAGATGCCTGCAAAAATTGGAACAGGGTGGTAAGTATCACCAATCCATCTCAGTTATATCTATAAACACTTCCACAACAAAGAGATGAAGACTGATTTTAAATGCAGAATATCCATAAATGATCTTTATGGTTTTAACCTTTTATTACTCAGAGCATGATCAAGGCACAGCCAAGACATATGAACCATCCAAAAAATGAATTAAGAAAGTTTTGTGAAAACTAATTATGAACATCACAGGGGACTCAAGTAATGCCAAACAAAGAAGGAACCTCCTGTCACACTTTCTGGAGAATACTCAGTCAAATTTTGCACAGACCTCTGTGTTTTGTGTCTTGTGCTCTTCTAGTGATGATGGCAATGGAAGAATATAAACATTGTCTTCAATAAACCCCCCAGAAAGTATCACTGGGATTGGGATCTGATCTCAATGCACTTCTGCCTGGGTATATATTTATCATGTGCAAATGACTAGAGCAATAAATTCTGATGATTCACTTGTCTCGACAGATGAACTGTAGCCTCACCAATGAAAGACCATTCTGTGATACTGAAAAGCATCTCAATCCAGCAGAAAGAAAATGCAGTAGGCTGCAACCAAGGCAGCAAACTGAAGCTTTCTGAACCGAGCCTTCCAACTGGAATACTGTTCAGCTGTTCCTTAAATGTATTCTTAACAATGAAGGACTAAAATGGCTGAAATACTTTATGAAAGTCTGGTATTTCAGACATATCTGACAATCAAAAATATTATTTTACGATAACTTTGGAGATGCTGCACCAAACCAAGAATCATATCAATGACAGTGTGCAGTGAAACAGTTGTACATATAAAAAAATATATGTATGAATAATCACAATTGACTGAAACAGAAAACAAATACATATAGGTCCTGTGACAGTCATGCAAATACATAAGTATAAACTGATATCTATGTATCACAGATACAAATGCTGTTATAACATTACTTGTCTGTATGCATAAGTATTTAAGCTAACATGTTTACTAAGTTGTACTAACTATACATTTCAGCAGTGTACACTGCTCAGATAAATATCTGATTACAGGAAGAACATTTCCATTAACTGTTAAAAGTGCTTCAGATCATAATGATGGTATCATTTCATTAGTTACACCAAATATGTGTCTTTTCAACTTTATATACACCTGAAACAAACAAGAAAAATTCTGCTCATGAAAGAACTCTCAAATATTTTAAAAGTTATCAATATTTCTGCATCCTACAGACAATATATTTTACCTTGTATTTTGCACAAGCAATAACATCATTAAAAAGGAAGAGGTGACGAAGTTTGCGGTGTCCATCAGATAGCTCCACTATAAACGAATTCTTCACAAGGCGACGCTGGGCTCGATCAGCAGACTGTCAACAAAAAACAAACCACAAGGGTGAAGACAATGGATAATGTCTTGGCCATTTTATGGCATAACCTGATACTAACATGTCATTTCCTCAGAAAGTTCTGGACAAAGTGTGTTGCACATAAAAGGTTGTCTTGCTGTGAGATAACATACCACATGCTTAACACTCTGGGAACTATTTCCTGTTGCATTATAATGTTCGAAGAAGTAGCAAAATGAATTCAAGAAATTTTCACACCATGTGTGTTAATATCTGTGTCTGCGATGTTTGGTCATCAGCCCATGCTTACTGTAAAAGGCAACTTATGTAACTGTTCAGGCACCAAAAACAATCCAACCAATGCACAAGTTACAGAGAATACAATTAACTTCATTTCAGTGGGCCATCACAGCCCACAGCTGTGTGCCTTGTAAATTGAATTCACTTATAATAAGCAAATTTAAATAACTACCACAAGAGTTTCACTCTGTAACATATAACAAATATTTTGCATGACTTCTCCCTCATGTATCATTCCAAAGAAACTATTTCACCATGAACTACAGTGTTAATGACATGTTATTACTTTTGCAACTGTTCTTCAAAGAGAAGCACCTGAAGATGGAGGCGATATGTTCCTCTGAAATGTAGGTTAACACAATATCTACATGGCGCCACGTCCAAGAAGACTGTTTTCTTCATAGTCACCGCCGTGAAAACCTCAAATTTTACACAGAAGCACATTTGTTCTCAATTATTTTATTCATTCCTTATAGGCTTGATGGTCACAGTTTACTTACAGGCAGTGGTGGGATGGTCTTCTTCATTGAAATGTTCAGACTGACTCCTGTGGCCCAACCAGTCTACCACTCAGTGAGTGCGGTGATATCTTCTGCATTGCGTATAGTAGTCAGAGCATGAAATAACAATTCACCTCCACAAAGATACTGGGTTTTCGGACTTTGTCCATCGCCCGGATTCCAAAAAAAAAAAGTCCCAAAACCCAGCATCTCTGTGTGTTATACACCATCGTCAGAACCCTATAGTATCTAATTCACCTCCAATCCACTTATATGCTTCCAGAGCACAGTGTTGCCGGACATGAAGGCAGTGAAATGTAGCAGGCACTGTTCATCAGTCCCACTTCTACCTCCAATTTTTACACACCAGCAGACCCTTCCCCAACATATATATTCCTAGACTCTTCACTTTTGTCCTGTCATGAGATGGTAGACCGGCTTGTTTACTTACTGGAAACATGGTTTTTGTCTGAATCATGTTGAATTCATCCAAGAAGTTCTGTGTCATCTTGAGGGCTTCATTTAATGTCTTATGATCCGGATGAGAACTTGGAGTATACTTCAGCAAGTCCTGAAACAGTAATTGTTCATGTTCATTTCATCATTTGTGTGAACCTGTTTCACAATTCATACAAGCACACAATTCCATGGCATAAGGCATGAACGAAGTATGTGCGACCTTAAATTCTGCCCCACATCCACCTCAACCAAAGGGAAGAAACAATATTATTCATAAGTTTAATGTACCATATTTATTCATGTACCATTGTCTGTGATGTATGCCTCAATTTTGGAAGCAGAATTTGGGGAGGGGATAAAGCAGCATATTGATAAGTGAAAATTTACGGTATACATCCCTTGGAGAATTGGCTAGATGTATTGATAATGCATCAACAATAAAGAATACGATTCTTCGGGTAGCAGCTTCCAACCATGGACATTCCTCTTCCTACAGTTTCCTGAACTATCCCAAGCATTAGCTACCAGCTTCCAAAAGTAACACCAGTTATCCCACTAACTCACTGACTCACCAACCAAGTAACTGCAACTCCTAACTGGTCCTGCTTGTGACATCTTGGCATGAACCACACAGATAACACCATTTCTCAGTTGCAGTGCAATTGTTGCTATGGAAACATGCTTGTTTGCAGGTCTACATATTATTATTGTAGGGGGTGGGTTTCCCCATGTACCACGACCAGTTGTTGATCTATTGTACGTCCCCTTCTGATATTCTACCAGTCGCCATACCCTACCAGTATTGGTGTGTGCTGTTAGCCCCGTTCAGCCAACAAGGTCAGTCTTCGGTACCTAATACTTGCCCCATTTACCAGAGGCATTGGAAACTACTTGTGCGGGAAACTTTTTGCCTAATTTAGCTCAGAGGTCTCCTAGAGACATGAGGATCTTTTATGTGCCGTAAATCTACGACATGGGACACACGGTTTAAAGTCCCTCCCGGAGGACTTGTTCCCTGAATTTTTCCGCCCTTAAAAATTCCACGACCTCCACCGGGTTTGAACCCGTGTACCTTGAGTCATGAGGCGGGAACGTTACCCCTAGACTATGGAGGCCGCAGGTCTACATGTTACACTATATTCATATACGTACTTGGTGTGTCATCAGATGAATGATGTTTGAGTAGGGCATGACATGGACAACTTCATGAGCACTGGTACACAGTATGCATATTTATGAAGTTAAAGGTATACACTGTCTTTGCTCACATAACTCAGCATTTGTCTGCACAGGAAATACATTTTAGTAAGATGTAATGGCAACAAATTTTTTACAAGATGCTTAGTGTCAGAGTCTGTACTTACATGTAATACCAAAGCATTTTTCTGCACACGAGCTACAGGTTTGTGAAGCAAATCTTCTAAAGACAAAGATTGTGACTGTCCTCCACCAAGTGACTTCAAGCGAATATCCCGTGTGATGTCAGCAAATTGTGCATTTGAAGCTGAGCACTTGCGCACCGTATCTGTTGCACGCCCATAGTTATGCAGAAATGCACCATAGATATTGATGTTACTAGCCTGATGGAAACAAAAGTGGCACATAAAGAGGTTCTCAAGAAATGTTAATTAAATAACATAAGTAAACATGTGCTATCCGCAGTCGGCATTCTGCTTCTGTCACTAGTTGTGAACCAGCACAGAACTGATATGGCTGATGCCACCTGTCTTGCTTGAAGGTCACAACTTGTGTTCAGACTGCACCATTTCACTGTTCTTGTAAACACACTGCATTAAAATTATGTTTCTACACAAAGGTATGTCTTAGGAATGTGATACCATATAATGGTGTGAAGGCTCCAGACTTATGCACACCATAAAACATGAGATAATTAACAATGACTGAGCATTAGCACATTTTTAGCATAATGATTTATTTTGAGCAGGTTCTACTTTCTCTCCTAATGTGAAATTGGAGCTGCTCTATCAAGAAGCATTTCATCATGTGATCAAAATTTCAGCCACATGAGCCCAACAGAGGGAAGCTCAGATGAATGAATGCATCATGCACTACATGTTTCGGCATAAAAATGCCATCTTCAGGTGCTTACTCAATCCACGCCAAACTAGTTCATTGCATGCCTTATCCTCACATTAAAATAACTAAAATATATATCTATCATATACAGTGACAAATGTCAAACGTTAAAAATATTAAAATTGTTCAGGATTCCTCATGGCTACGTCGCACCTCACTATGCCAGTCACGCCCATCCTCCTCTGTTGGAGCACTCCTTCACTATCGTGTGTGTGTTGTGCTTTTGTTGTGTCTTGCTCCTGTGACTGCGTGTGTTATACTGTTGGGCCTGCTGGGTATGTGTTGGCACTTTTTGGCATTTTTATGCCGAAACATGTAGTGCGAGTGAGACAAGGAGATAGATGAGTGTATGCACTGCAAGACGGTTTAAATAAATCATGGATCTATAAATAAGCCTTAAAATTTTGTTTTTTAATTAAGTTAAGATATATAAAAAATAATTATAAATATACTGTGAGACTGAAACTGAATACAATATTTTACACATAATATGAAGCTAAAATACAATATTACTGCATACTTCCAGCTTCTAACTCATAAAATAGGCATATGTTATATCATCAATTTTACACATTGCTATAAATTCTTATTATACACGACTTTCATTGTATACAGAAATATAGCATATATCATAACACTCTTTAAAATGGGAAAGAACTTTAAACGGGAAGACACACACAGGGATGTCTGAGAGTTCCGACACGGTTGCTGCAGTCACAAGATCTGCTCTTGCTGTCAACTCACCATAACTCATAAAATAGGCATCTGTTATATCATCAATTTTACACATTGCTATAAATTCTTATTATACACGACTTTCATTGTATACAGAAATATAGCATATATCGTAACACTCTTTAAAATGGGAAAGAACTTTAAACGGGAAGACACACACAGGGATGTCTGAGAGTTCCGACACGGTTGCTGCAGTCACAAGATCTGCTCTTGCTGTCAACTCACCATAACTCATAAAATAGGCATCTGTTATATCATCAATTTTACACATTGCTATAAATTCTTATTATACACGACTTTCATTGTATACAGAAATATAGCATATATCGTAACACTCTTTAAAATGGGAAAGAACTTTAAACGGGAAGACACACACAGGGATGTCTGAGAGTTCCGACACGGTTGCTGCAGTCACAAGATCTGCTCTTGCTGTCAACTCACCATAATGCGAAAATGATCTCCGATAGTGAGGCGCCCATCCCAATTCTGTGTACGACGTTTCAATCCATCTAGGAAATTCTGGTGTAATGCATGCAATTCTGGAATTTTGTAGAACATTGTGCTGAACTCATCTTCTGATATGACCGGCTGAGAAGTGGTGAGGGTGGCCTTCATAGCCTTCATGTACTGTCAATTGAGATGATAAAATGAGCCAATCTCCACACACACACACACACACACACACACACACACACAAACTAAGCAACATCATTACTAGCAGAGCAGCATGGTAAAATCTGCAAGTCAATCAAACATATATAACATGCATGCAATAGCACCACATAGACATTAATACAAGTTGTGTAAATAACACACATAATAACCACAGCGCAATAAAGGAATGCAGCATAACAAGATCGAACATCAGCAAATATACCCTCGAATAAACGAACAGCTGCCAACCTCAATGAAAGTAACATTAAGATGTTTTAATTTTAATTTTTAATTCCACTCTCAATTAAAACTTTATATTTTAACTGATCACAACATTGTGTTCACATGCAATATGTTCCTTTAACATACAGTGGAACAATTATGCCAAGATGGATATGCCCCTGATGATGGCCATGTACGGCCAAAACATGTAGTGATAGAAAAGCAGAACTCGATAATAAGTTGCATCTGAGATGGAAATATATGCATAAAAATTAGATATAATTAGACTCTTAACCCTGTAATGTATTTCACATTTACCCAAAATAAGACAATACCCATTCCCTAATTCCTGCTCTCTCTCAAAGTTTGTGGTAAAGCAGTGACAGCACAACATACTGCTAACTCTCATGAGCAATTTCCAACAGCACCTGACAACTGAAAGCTACCATCAGTAACAATGTGTTCTGCTCAATGCCCACCTGGTTTTACTCTGCAACTATGCTATACTGTCACACAGTAAACACAGCATGTTGCTACACTAAAAGTGCTTTGTACTACTTGTGGCAAATTATACCAGACAGGTTTTGTTTATGCATGATTACAATATAATCACTCTTCTTAAGGTACTGATTTAAGAAAACAAAATAAGGAAGGGACTACAGTGATTTGCGATATGTTACAGCAGTTATATCAACATGGTTTAAAACCACATGATAGTCACTGTATTTCTATCATCTAAATCTGGGATCCATAATTCACTAAGAGAAAACTGATTATCTGTTTTGTGTACCACCAAGACTTGAAATGTAGGTCAAGAATGTGCACAATAACCAGCCTACTTGAGCAGAATTGTGTCCAGAAATGGAAAATAATGTTAACTTAAAATGTGTGCTGTAAATTTTCATATGATACAAAGTAAAATGCATAGCAGTATAAGTGTACATCCCATTATTTAGTTTCATCAACAACCATATTAATGGTCAGACTACAGCCACTTTACATGCACAATTTTTAAGGAAACCAACTCCTGACTTTTTTTTTAATTCCGGAACATTTCTGTAAATCTAGAATACTGAGCCCATACTTACATACTCACTCATGGAGTTGAGCCCTTCTTGAGGAGCCGTCAATTCTGCATCTACTCAAGAATTTCCTAGCATTTTATGGAACCCGAAGGTTCATTACCATGTTCAAAAGAGTCCTCCACTGGTCCCTATCCTGAGCCAGATCAATCCAATCCACACCATCCCATTCTATCTCTCTAAGTTCCATTTTAATATTGTCCACCCACCTATGCCTTGGTCTTCCCAGTGGTCTCTTTCCTTCTGGCTTTCCCACCAATATCCTATACACACTCCTCGTCTCCCCCATTCATGCTACATGCCCTCCCACCTCATTCTCGCTGACTTGATCATTCTAATTATACTTGCAGAATAGTACAAGTTATGAAGCTCCTCATTATGCAGTTTTCTCCAACCTCCTGTCACTTCATCTCTCTTTGGTCCAAATATTCTCCTCAACACCCTAAGTCCAAGGCTTTTTGAACATTTTCGTAACAAGCTTATTTTTTATGGTGAGGACTTTTTAGCCCCACACCCAACCCCCAAGCTGGAGGACCACCCCTTGTCGGCTGTCCACGACTGCTTATTCAATATATTCGCAGCTTCCCTCCATGCCTAGAGGGCATCTCCTCCATCCGCAACCTGAGGACGCGCCATGCTGTGGTGACAAGGGACCCACCTAACATGGTACTGAGTCCATACTGTTATCAGTAAGTGTCATTCCACCTCCACTCACATAGGTCACTATTAATTTCAACTGCAGAACAATGCTGTGTCTTGATAACAGAGACTATTTCCCTCAAAGATCAACTTCTAGTACCTCAAATGTAGGTTACAGGTTTCAATATGCAATGAATGTCATCATCAAACCTCTTCTGCATATGCATCTGCATAGAGACAAATACAATCACAGAGCATAGTATAGCATAGCAGACCATACCACTGTAATGCAGTATACTGGGCTGCCAGATATCACTCAACTACCAACTACACTACAGAGAACAGCATATTGTCACATGTATGCAAGAATATAGATGGGGTTTCGATTGAAGAATGGCTTTCTTACTGATCACTTCAACATACGATTCATGACTACACTTAAATACAGTGCAACTGCTAATCCCCACACTTTACAAATCACTACAACACACATCAAGTCTTTTCAGTCTGCTATGTCTTGACCAGTCACTTGCTGGTAATGGCTGCTAACAGTGGAGATTCTTCAGCTTCCATGCTCACTTCGTTGTCTGCTGGTTCTCAACTGTACCAACTAAGTCTTCACTTCACAGACTTCCTTCCAACTAACTTCTAAACTTGTCTCAGTTACAATGTGTCAACACAGACAACGTAGAAAACACAAATTCAAACAGTCCTGTACAGTTTTGCATGAACTCACTGCCAAGGAAACCTGTCTGTTTCATGGTCACTACCCAGTAACAGGTCTACACACTACAAAATAATATAAATATTCCTACCAGCTTAGATGATCATAAGAAAGTTGCCAAACTTACTTGACACATGTAAACACAAATACAGTAACCTTTGTTAATCTGGTTTCAGTTAACGTGGATCTCAGACAATCTGGGTCAAAATTTGAAAAATGCTGTTTGGAGTTGAGTATATACTTTAAAAGATGCATGGTATTTAGGAACATATTTGAGACACTATGCTAGAAGCTGGAAGGACATGGGTTCAAGTCCCAATGAGATTACTGAATTTTTTTTTTCAATTTACTTAATCATTTCAGCTGAAACATGGCCCTGGGGTCAACTCAGACTCTAACTGAAATGAGTACCAGGAAGATTCCTGGGGGGTAAACGACAGCAAGTGCGTAAGGCTGACGTTACTGCCATCTGTGAGTCGACTGTCCAGAAGATGTGGGAGCCTCGACCTATCACACAGCTATGGGCCTTCATGGCCTGTTACAGGGTCAGTTTTACCCTTTTATGAGTCACTTGTCTGGTAAGACAAACTTACAGTTTCTTCAAGTCTGCAATATTATGTTCAAAAACAAGTACAGTCAACTCTCGATTATCCGGGGGCGGATTAACCGGTTTGCGGCTTAACCGGGGCTNCTTCTATCGATGAAAAAATGTATTTTCTTTTTATAGTTTTTAAATGGTCAAATTCTTTTATGTTTTCATCATCATAACTTATATTATTAAATTTTCCTTTTATTTGTTATTTTTTTTGTCTTTTGTCTTTTAGGGTACCTTTTGCTTCACTAATCTGGATTACTGCTTTATCTGGATGACCTCCTCGCCAACTGCTCCAGACTGGCAAACGTTTACTGTATTATAATATTATAATTATTTAACTGCAGACTCTGTTCACACCCAGCACCACAGACGCAAAACTAGAATCTGACATCATCAACACAAGATGCACAAAACTGCAAAATGAGCAATTTAATAATTTTAATAATTTCAGTCAATTTTACACCTACGGACATTTGTGTACACTATGTGTGTACTCTGCAGTAAACACAAAAGCCTACAGTACAATGAGTGTTATAGAACATGAGCTTGTAAAAGCAATGTTCATACTAATCTCACCTTTCTGTCGAATTAATGATTTATGCTGTAGACAACGTACCTGGAGCATGACGTTCAAGCATTCAAGATATGCTGTCTCACTCTCGATAATACTGGCAATGATGCATCGATACATTGTCATCCTCTCTGCTTCTGCCTTACTGCCTACATCCTGGAATAAAATAAACTTGTAACACACACAACAGTGGAAACACCCATTACTTCAACTGGCATAACTGATCTGTACCCAAGCATCCAAACTTAGTACAAAGATTCATGGAGGAGTTCACTTCACGTGTTTTCCAGTTTTACAAACGTGTTCTCTGAAATTTGCATTCTTCTTTGCCTTCATTGTAGGAACAAATCAATATTTTTATTAATTTTGTCTTATCCATCTTTTGTTGTACTGTAGTGGGAAAAATGAATGCTTAAAAGTCATCACATATTAGACTACTGCAGACAAAACCAATTAAGTCTGGACTAATATTCAATAGTAAAATGATGTGCAGAACTGTTCAAGTGTCAATGTACCACTGATACCACATCCCATTTGTATTCCTACAAGCCCACAAGACATACAGAGGTTGGACAAAATAATGGAAACACTACAGACACTCTATACATTTCTTCACTAATACAGTGCCAGACCATCTATTTCCTATAGTACAGCTGCAATCCTTCTAGGAATGATCTTGTACAAGTTTCGAGTAGTATCTAGCAGACTTTTATACCATTCTTCTTGAAGAACGTCGTCAAGTGGCTTTAGAGATGTTGGAAGTGGGAATCTGTTCCTCACTGGGGTCTCCAAAACTGGCCAGAGTGGTTCGGTGATGTTCAACTCTAGTGACTGTGCTGGCCAGGTAAGATGTTGGAAGTTCACCTTCATGCTCTTCAAACCATTACTGAACAGTTCCAGCTGTGCAAATGGGTGCAATGTTGTTCACACGGGGTATCCCTTATATCCTCAATCTACTGAGATCTCCAATGAAGGGATGGATAGCACCAGAATTCCAAGGGTGATGTAGTAACCCAAGTTTTATCTCAGCCTCAGTTCAAATTACTGTTAAAGCTCACTGCTGCTACTGTGCCTTCACTGTCAGATGAGGCTGCTTCATCACAATAACACTCCAGCATGAGTTCCTGTTCAACATCTGTTCCAATTCTCAAAATGCATGCCATTATAATAAGGAGAAAATTAAATTATCTTAAGAATAATATACCACTCATACTTAAGTAAAACAAGACAATATCTGTGGTCCAAACTACTGACGGTGGTCTACTCTTTCCTGTACGACCAACACAGGTGTCAAGGTAGGTGAATTTCATTTGTTTATTATGGTCATGTGACAGCAACTATGCAACAGGTTCAGGTTTGAAATGGATTTATTTAACACCAGTTCCTCTTATTACACCTGCTTACAAATAATCACAAATGTTCACTGCTTGTTAGACCATTTTTGTCTGGTTCACCTGCCATGCTGTCACTACAGACCTTGCTGCTAGGTTGCAGGCTTAGGCTGCAAGAACAGTGACTAGTGTAGTACACTTCTTTATATCGCACTGCTGCACTCACCAGCATCTCAACTGTTGTGGCTTGTGGGGATTTATGTTTTCTTCAACTAGCAAATGAACGTTTCTCCAATATTTCTGCAGTCCCCACATTCCAAACTTCAACAAAAATCCTTTTCTTTTTCAACAGGTTGGGTTTCTACCCTTCCCACCTATAACATCAACAGCCTGTTGTGCATAAACTGGGCTGACATGAATGGATTCCTTCAGGTCTTTGAATTTAAATGTTATGAAGCCATTTTACTATTAAATGTTTCAGAAAACTGCTAAACATTTGAAAGTAATTTACATTCCAACAAGGCGTTTGAAGGGTACATAGCAGCTATGACAAAAAAGGTGAAGTCATTTCCCTGGTGATACACTAAACAGGGCCTTCGATGTAACATTGCTTTGATGATTCATAAAAGAAATCAATAATTGATTTTAAATAAATTAGTTAGCATAAATGTTCCTTACCATATACACCGACTTATATAAAATTTTGAGTTTAATTTTTATTAAATTGATTAAAATAATTAAAACTGCAATGAACACAGTTACCTAACACACCACACAGGGCTCCAGGTGGTGATATTTCTTTTTCAAAAGTAATCTTGATACAAGATCTTTTTGACATGACTGATTCAATTTAGTGCTCTTCATAATTTCCATTAGTACAAATAAAGACTAAACATATATTGCTGTTATCACCAAAATGTAGGGCAAAATCAAGACCTAAGACAGGTAACACAAGTTTTGAAAATGTGGCACAGTTCAGATATTTGGGAACAACTATAACAAATCAAAACCTGATTCAGGAGGAAATAAAGTGGAGGCTGAACTTGGGTAATGCTTGCTACCATTCAGTCCAAAACCTTTTGCCTTTACGTTCGCTGTCTAAAAACATAAAAAATTAGAATATACAAAACTATAATTTTGCCTGTGGCTCTGTATGGGCGTGAAACTTGGTCTCTGATATTAAGAGAGAAACACAGACTGAGGGTGTTTGAGAACAAGGTGTTGAGGAGAACATTTGAACTCAAAAGAGATGAAGTGAAAGGAAGTTGGAGAAGAACTGCATAATGAGGCGCTTCATTACTTGTACTCTTCTCCAGTATAATTAGAATAATCAAGTCGAGGAGGATGAGATGGGCAGGCCATGTAGCACGAATGGGGGACGAGGATAAGAAGGAGAAGAAGAATGCATATAGGATATTGGTGGGAAAGCCAGAAGGAAAGGGACCACTTGGAAGACCAAGGCGTAGGTGGGTGGACAATATTAAAATGGATCTTTGAAAGATAGGGTGGGGTGGTATGGATTGGATTACTCTGGCTCAGGATAGGGACCAGTGGTGGGCTCCTGTGAGCACAGTAATGAACCTGTGGGCTCCATAAAATGCTGGGAAGTTCTTGAGTAGTGGCACAACTGGCGGCTTCTCAAGAAGAGCTAAGCTCCATGTGTGAGTGAGTGAGTGACCAATAAAGACTATGTTAATTTTGTGAGATATAACCTTAAAGATATACATACTCATCATGTTTGTAACTGTCAACACATGCTGAAAAAAGTATATGTAAAAATTTGTAGATATGTTTATGTCCTCTTTCATTAAAAAATTTACATGTTACAACTGGACAGTATTTGAGTCATCACTAGCAAATGAAAGGCCAATACAGACTTTCTGAGCAAAAACCAGGTTGTTCCAAGTACTGAATTTCAGGACCTCATGGAAGTAACTACAATGCCATTTAATTTATAGAGGAGCCAGACATTTTGAAAGAACATATCGTCTCCACCCTCAGGGTCAAAGAATGAGCCAAATATGCAACAAGAAGAGGCAGCCAGCAAGCTCCAAACTACATAATGCTACAACCTTGAAGGCTGTACTCTTGACGTTGTAGAATCTTACTTTTCTTTGTCTAATATTAACATTCAATTTCATAGCATTACATTAGTCTGTGCTATTGATGCATTCCTATTAGAGACTAGTACAGTCACCATGCTGGTATTAATGATAGTAGGAAATTAAACTAGAAAGGTGGAACATTCTACAGCAACATGCCTTCATGGAAAAATTTCATGAAAATACATCAACCGGTATTATACCGTAAGTCTGCATTTCATTTAAATGAGAAAAGTAAGTTAAAAGTAAATAAAAAGGACATGTGGACAACATTTTCTGGTCAAGAAAACCGAAATTAATGGCCATGGGGACTCTTTTGCGCTGACTACGCAACACCCTCTATCCACAAAGTTGGCAATAACTTTGCCGACAAGCGGCAGTCGCTCAGTCGGTATATTTCACTTGTGGACTAAAACCACAGAGTTTGTTTTGTTTCTGTCTGTGGGCAAAATCTGTAGAGGAACTGAATTTCCTACCTGTGCATGTACCTTCCTGGCTGGGGCAGGGGTAGATACAGCTGCAGACTCCAGGGACGTACTGCTACCAGCGAAAAATGGAACTGAACCTCCTCCAACATCTGAACCTCCTGTTGATACATCATCGGTCTCCATGGAGATAGTGCGTAATAATGGTGGAACTTCAGTTTCATCTTCTGATTCCATTGAACTACTTCGTCCTTCAGCTCCTGCCCGTTGCCTAACAAAGCCAGGGAAATACACAAGAATATGAGCATTTGGTAAACAACTGTCTAGCAATTTCCACATTTCCTAAGAAACTGATTAAAAAAAAAATTCTCAGGTAGGTAACAGACAGGAAAACAAAAAACTGTGAACTCAATGGTAAGAATGATGTAACTTGCATCTGCTACACTTTCATTGAACTTACCTTCCTATTCTGACTTCACAAATACATGAACCTATACTTTAGTTTTCCCTATGTTTTCTTCTAGGCAAACTTCTTAACTAGGATTTAGGAGAGCTTTTGTGTTCTCCTTTAGGTTCCTCTTTATGGCATTTATGTATTTACCAATACATTAAGACAATCAGCACAGGCCAGACACTGATATGTTCTACTCAATTCTAACCCCTCATTGACTTCCCAAATAGGGCACTCTAAAGCAAATTTGAAAAGCAGTGGAGACAAAGCATCTCCTAATTTAAGACCATTCTGAATAAGAAAAACCAAAGACAAATGTCTGCTTATACAAAACATACTACAGTGTTCATTTAAATCTATTTCAATTAGCGAATCAAGTTTCACTGTTACACAAAAATTAATAATATACTTCTACAACACTGTCACATGTTAGTACCTAGACATGGGGTTTCAATTGATAATTGGGTTTACCTAATGTCTGTAACTCGTTAACTACAAATGGTTATTACAGTCTCACTAATTTACACACTATACAAATTACTACAACTACAGCACACACAAAATCTTCTGTTTGATATCCTGTTATCACTACAGCCTGCTGGGGTATGAACTTGGGAGAAGAGAAGTGGGTCGAGTTCTGGAGATGGTAGTTGAAGGTGATTAACAAGATATGGCAAAGAAAGGAATTAGACTGTAAATGAAGACTTCACGTATGATTTGAAGTAACAGTGATGCTATTATACATCCATTGCCTGGATACGACTAGTGAAGACTGAGAATCCTAGTGCATGTGCAATGGTGAACTGGAAAGTGTGGAGAAGAGTGACAGTGCTGCATTGCCTGTAGTCCCAAGGCGTCAATGTATAAGGTGCAACAAATCCAATCATCCAATCCAAACCCCCATCTTATAAGTCACCCTTACATGTGACAATAATTAAACCAGATGGTAACTTTTGTTAATAACATGGGATACCTCAGAAACCTTCCACTGCTGAACACAGCACACAGACTACATTGACAAAGTGAACAGAATTCTGTTATGTGCAAAAACTGGAATCAGACAAGACACCATTTATTCACCTGCTTGGTCCTAACACTGTTCAGATGCTACATCATTCTGTTATGCTTCAGTAACAAAATGGATAACCAACAATTCTGATCTTGCATACAAATATACTGAAAATGAGTGCAAGGGGGCTGTGCACTGCAGTCGAAAAATTTAAATCACAGCTCTGTCAAGAGTAGGAAAACATATGAATTTATAAACATAACATTTTGTTCCACTTCATGAAACCAACTGTTTCTAAAACGATTTTATAATAGCAAAAAATGACCATAAAATTCAACCATGCAATTTATTTGACATATTTTTATCATAAAAATTTGGTACAAATAATTTGAAATATACATAAACGTTTCTTTGATAGTCATGCCAGTATTAGCTAAATGTTCCACTTACACCCAAACCACCAGCCCCATACCATGAGGGATCAAACCCCATTCTCATTTGATAAAGGTTAATGATCTCACTTCTCATAACCTACTTTCCCTTGGGTAAACCTCTCATTTGTGCCACAATTAAGATCGCTTGGAGAACAACCTCCTCACCCCCTACATCTTCACAGTGTGGTACAAAAAAGATGGATAAATGATCTGGTTTATTAGAATCTGATTATTGTATATGATTGTTATTATTGTCAGTAGCACTGCTACACTCGATGGTCTTCCAAGGAAGATTATTATTCAATAATTATTTATTTTACATTACATAACATGCACTTCTTTTGGCTTGTTTTGGACTTCATCCATCGTCTGGTATGTAAAAGACAAAAGACCACGACATTTCGGGGACTGGATCTGTCTCCGTCTTCAGGTGGGTAGGGAAGGATAAACCTATTCAGTTGGGCCCATTAGAAAGAGCTAGTCTCAATCACTGGGTCCAGATAATGGATGACGTCCAAAACAAGCCAAAAGAAGTACAGTATACACCATCGTCAGAATCCTTTCAAGTCAATTACATAACATGTCTTATATTTTTATCAGTTATAAGTGAGATATAGTCAGTACACTACCAAGCTGTACAACATAAAACAACAATCTAATCTAACTGCTGTGCTCCATTTATGCAAATCTAAGAATGAATACCCATTCAACTGTTTATTAAAAATCACTACATGTTTTGACCATCCAACTGGTCATCATCAGGTGATACAATACTTACAAGTGTTTTTTGTGTAGACGGAACATGGCAATTAGATAAGTTTAATCACACAACGGAATGCACTCTATAAAGATTAAAACAACATACTTGATGAAGTAGTCGATGTTGACATAGTTGGACTGCTTGCTAGAACTGCTAAGACTGCCAGGAGAATGAGGCTGAAGTTCAGACTGAGAACGACACAGAGGACTACTACTTGGGAGTGTCATCATGGTTGGTGCAGATGAATCAGTTGTATCTGTTGTACCAGAGCTGCCACTTGTCATTGTACCGTTGCCTCCAGCAGTTCCATCTGTACCAACAATTTATTACCATTCACTATGCCACACATGCACAAGTAAAACATGGGGGAAATTATATGAGATCTGCATCCAGAATAAACAGCCATGGTGAATAACATTTGGCCCCAAAAAAGAAAAAGTAATAAGGAACAAAAAATTACATACTGAGAAAATTCATAATTACTACTATTCCCTTAATATTACCCAGGTGATTACATCATGAGACAGCACATGAAGTGTGCAAGTGTCAAGAAGCTACATGTAAATGGAAGGATAATATTAAAATGCACCTTAGAGAAATACAGGGCGTTCAAAAGGAAGAATTCCAGAATTCCATAGCTTAATATTTCAGTAAATCTGACACATGTGATCATGATGTCTATATCCGAGTATGCAAGAACTCTCCAGGTTGTATCCTCACCTGTCCAGCACAATGCTGATGTTACAGGGATTATCCTTATTATTAAAGCACCCATCAATAATGCAACAATATTTTTAAAATATATAAAAGACATTTAAAATATGTTTCTGACTAAAACTGCCACTTTAATACTTTACGATGTTGTTAAAATGTCATTAAGACACTAAAAGTGATCATCAGATTATTAAAATGTCTCTACTTTTACACATGTTTCGTCTCATTTTACAATATGTTTCGGCGGCACATGGGCCATCATTAGGCTTCCCCCCCCCCTCAAGGAGACCACTGCACTGTTCACTTATCTATCGTCATTGTTTAGTTTTTATCTCTCGACTAGAACGCTGTCATTGTACTCTTTTGCGGACACTGTAGTTTCTGCATGTTGTGTATCTCCTGTATATGTGTTACTAGTGTGGTCTTCCTGTATACAGGAAGAAGTACTAGCAATGATAAGAATAATGAATATTTAAGTATGAACAGCATACTACACTTGTACACAATTAATTTTCACTTTGGACTCTTGTACTCTGGCATACCAGAGGCTGTTCTACATTATATTAAGTGTCAAATATACTACAATGTCCACACAAACTGATCCAGAGATTCTTTAATTATGCTGTAAAACCTGCACAGATTATTTACAATCAAATGAGGCACAAGAATGATATGGAATGTAAATTCAAAACAGTTCAGAATGAAACAGTTGTTGATCACTTTCAATGTCACCTCAGCATTCACACTGTGAATCTAATGAAAACCAGTCAGGCATATTACTTTTTGAGGCACATGCTTGGCATAAAGTCAACAAACTCCAAAAACTAAATATTCCAGCTGTAATGTTTCTAACTGAATTAAAATTTAGAAACAGTAGGATACACTGATGCTATCTCAAATCAGTTTGTGATTTTTTGCCACCATGTAGTGTTATTGAGGACCATCCTTCCATGGTAACAATACAACATTACTCAAACACAGACTGTACCTTCCCAACTGTCACATTCTGCCAAAACAGTACTGAGTCATTGCATTAACTGTGCAAGTAGTGACTTCTGAGATGTGAGGCCATGTAGTATTGTAGGTAGGGTACCAACATTCCAGAGGAACCTGCTGCCTCCATCTTCTGTGTATAAGGCTCATCAAACATTCAGTAAACAGTAGTGCAAGATGTAATGAAAAATATACAGCTTTTAATTTAAATTAATATGAATTCTAATTAAAAGAATATGGACAATTTTTGTATACCTTAATGTTAACAGCGCTTTACTTCCGCAATATTCAAAAATCAAATTTAATTTTTTAACCTTTAAAGTCAGAAGTGAAACCCCTAATAGTTCTATACAGCCTCCCAGACTGGCGAGGCTGTACTCGGGATACTGGCTAGAGGGATTATATAATTTTTAACAAAGGCCGCACCATAGCTCAGGCAGTTAGTTGCTGGCTTCCCACTGTGGCGGCCTGGGTTCAAGCCAGGGTCTGGTCATGTGGGATTTGTGGTGGACAAAGTGGTGCTGATGCAGGTTTTCTCCAAATACTTCGGTTGCCCCCGCCAATCTTCATTACACCAATTACTCCACAATCACCATCATCTGGGGCTGGTACAATAGGCCAATAGTGGCCACAGTACCAAGTGGACTTAGTCTCACCCCACTAAGAATAACAATAGTGTTTAGCTTGAGGATAAAAATAACAACAAATAAAATGATTCAACTGAAGATCACAGTGGCCATGTGGTCTAAGGCATGAACTGTCTTCACTCACTCAAATGTTAGGATTGTGGGTTCAAATCACTCAAGGCATGGATGTTTGTGCATGCATTTATTCTGTTTGTGTTGTCCTGTGTGCAGGCAGTGGCCTTGCTGGGGGCTGAGCACTTGCCCAAGGAGTCCTACCATCTGTGTAAAACAAAAAATATCATGAAACTGAAAAAGAGGCCAGGGCCAAAGGGCTGTAAAGGCATTGATGAATAAATGAAAATGATTCAATTTTCAATTTTGGCATGGATCCACTGGAATTAAACTGTCTGTAGCATCTGACTGATTCTCAGCACTAAATGAAACTGAAAGTTGATCGTAAATGGTAACTAGGAAAGAATTTTGAAAGTAACTGTCATGACCTACTTCAGCAAATGAGAATAAGAAAAATCACTTTATAAACCTATAAGAATCAGTAATCTGGCTGAAATTAAAACACAGCACCTCCCAGATAAGAGTATACTCCCCTAAAGTGTTACTGCTACAACCTACTCATTCATCTCAAATATCTCACTGTTGCAATAAACATGACTTCCAAATGTATTGTGACGTGGATGATGCAACGAGAAGTAGGGGTCATGTGAAATTATTTGTCGCGTGACATACACCTAACACTTGACAGTATTCTAAATCAAATACATTCTGGCAAAACAACTACAATA